AAAACATGAATGTCAGGTTTAAGGTTTGCCAGTTTCTAATCAAATTGATGGCATACTAAACTGTGAGGGACCTGTCACCTACTGTAATGCGTTATGATCTGTTTCTCTCTCTCTTTCTGTTCCTCATAGCCCTCCCCCCGACATACACACACACTAAGCACTAAAAATGTCTGGTGAACAAAATGGAGCAGCCTTGTGTCTGCTGCACTCAGCAGTTTGCAGTGTAATTGTATTGAACATGGTCATGGAGCTCAGGGCTGGTGGGATCATCCAGAGAGAGAGAGAGAGAGAGAGAGCAAAAGCAAATAACAACTTTCAGCCAACACAGGACAGGACACACAAACTTTTTTTTACCACCAATGTACCGATTTCTGGTTTTAAGCAAAACTTTGTTATATTTTATGAGGATTTAGAATTATTCGTTAGGACGCACATGCATTTACAGCATTTTGTTGTCAAAGTAATAGTAGTAAGCTTTCATCATTGTATAAAACAGAATAAGCAGAAACATGGTGTGGCTGTCCCATAAATTTGCCTGTCTGCTTGTTTCTTCAAAGCACCCCTCAGAAAAGACAGGCACAGTGAAGGCAGCCCTCACTGGCTCTATATTTAGCAGTTTTGGGTCCTTTGAGCAATGTGCTGGAAGGCAGCATGTGTTCAAGGCTCTGTGTCCATTGATGGGGCTGAGACACTGGAATGTGTGTGGCTGAAGCTTACCAGTGCCGGCAACTGTTTACAAATGCAGCTGTTACATGGTGAAAACCGAACCATGACCATGTGCTTGAGCACATTTGCCAAGAATTTGCATGTTGCAATGTATTATTACACTGAAACACTGTGCAAAAACATGCGCAATACAATCTCAAGTTCTCAATTCTAGATGTGCATCCTGCAGTGATCACAAACTGTTTTTTGTCTCTTATATGTAAACATGTTTACTATCAGTTGCCGTTCTGAGTTTCTAAATGGAGGTGAGTGAGTTCAACTCTGACCTTTTAACCTTTCTGCTATGAAAGAAGAGGACAGAATCGAGCATTTAATAGCACAGAAGACAGATATTTCAGACTACCAATCTGTTAAATAAATTACATTTTAAAATATAATAAAATACAATACAGTTTTTTTTTAAATGTAATTTTTGATCCAATAAATGCTGCCTTGGGTAGCATAAGAGACTTCTTTCAAAAACATTACCCCAAAGTTTTGAACGGTAATGTACATTCATATGTATTGCATAATTTGAGCTGATTGAACAAACAAATGTTTTACCCTGAAAAACTATTAACTCAGAAAGGAATGAAAAAAAAAAACATATTTAGTATATTACTTAAAAGTTGTAAAACTGTGCAGATTAGTTGAAATGTAGGAAGGACATGACAAAAATGAACAAAAATGGCCAGTTAACACTTGTTCTTGTCTTCTTTGAATCATTAGATTCTGAAATAATGCTGCTCCACAATGGTATTATCCCCTCCTGACACTTTAAATAGCACAAATAGGTCATGCCAGGTTGCAAAATGTGGGCTAACACACACACACACACACATACTAGAACCGTTCCCCTAGTGTTTGTCAGAGATCTAAAAAATGGAGGTGTCCTAATGTTCAGGTTTGCTTCTGTGTAGAATGTCCCATAACAAGGTTTATGGTAGATTTAGGCCACTTTGACTATGTGGGCCAACCAGTATTCAATTCTATTCTAGTTCTTTATTCCGATTATAGGCTATATTACGCCTTAGTGAGTCTTGAGCTTTTCCATTAAAATTGTCACAATTTTGCCATCATTTTAAGGAAGAATTTGAACAGAATGTTTGAATGTTTTTCTCTGGAACTTGATGTTTTCCAGGAATGGACAAGACTAGGCAAGCTCAATGGAACAAAATATCAGTCCTCCACAGGGTGCTCGGCATAAATGTTTCATACATGTCATGCCAAACTTTGTATCACGTACTTATATCCAAGTGATGATATTAAATCAGGACAAGGGAAATGATACTCTATTTAATATTTGCACCTTTAAAAGCTATTTAATTTATTTGTATGGTGCTTTTCACAATGCATAATGTGAGTGCCTTACAAATCCCAGAGTGAGCAAACCAAGTGTGATTATGGCAACAAAATCTTTCTTGCATGGATACTGGTTAATGATCAGCAACATCTTAACATCTATTTTATGTTACTATAGGCTACTGATGAATAAAACTGGAATAGATTACATTCGATGCTTTTATCCAAAGCGACTTACATCGCATTAAAGGTATACATTTATTGGTTCATGCATTCCCTGGGAATCACACCTATGACCTTGGCATTGCTGCACCATGCTCTACTGTTTGAGCTACAGAAAATAGAGTCATAACTATTGTATATTGGGATACTAAGAAATAATTGCTAGTACTTTATTTTTTACTTTTTACATAAAATACTAGTACTATTAGTCTTAAAATTATATTAGGCTATAAATATTATAACTGAGAAATAATTGCTAGTTTTTTGCTTTTACTCTTTTAAATAGTACTAGAGAGTAAAATACTAAATAATACTAGTAACATAAAATTGGAATAGATAGTTGTCTTGTAACTATTGGTATTGGTATTGGTATAGTTGTCTTGTAACTATTGGTAACTAAGAAAAAACTACTAATATCTTATGGATAGTTAAACTGGAACAACTTGAATATATTTGCTACTTGTCAGAAGTAATTAGTTGATTTCTGAACCACTGATCCCCATAGATTTCAATGGTAAAACTATTACTATAACAATGAAATAGGTTCTTGTCACTAAATGGTGACTAGTATGAACACGTTATATCCGAATAAGTGACAAATTGAATGGATTCAAGACCATTTTTGATACAGAAATCGAACTTAATCTAGTGTTAATTACTTAATATTAAAAAGATAGCCTACTAGTTCGTTTAAAGGAAAATGTTAAAGCAGCTTGCCATAATGGCTGGACATAGGCTAATGCGGTGTGACAGTGCTGACTTTCACACAATAGGCCATATTAGGAGAATAAATAAATCTCTTTAATTTGTTAAAGATGGTTATAGCAGGGAAGAACAGCGTGCTGTGGGTATCTCAGAAATACATGTGACAGCAGCACACAGGAGATCGAGACAGCTCGCGCGCACACACGATATCACCAGTGTCCCTATACATTTACGCACGAAGCATGTCACATTATTCCCGTTACTCTGACAGCTCTGTGCATCACGTTTAAAGTCGCCCAGGACGACAGGGCGCCGTCTTTCATGTCTTACCGTCCGCAGGCTGCTGGAAGTTGACGTAGGCATAGCCCAGCGAGCGCCGCGTGATCATATCCCGACACACGCGGATGGACAGCACCGGGCCGGCCGGACTGAATTTCTCATACAGCATAGCCTCCGTGATATCAGGGTGCAGGTCGCCCACATAGAGAGAAGCCATCGGATAACTCCCCGCGGTCGCTGCGTTCATATCTCGGTGTCGTTCAAGCCTTTGAGCTCGTGTGTTTTGTCTAGTGCTGAAATGCGTAAAGAGTGTCCTAGAACCAGAGGGACAAATTAGTCTATTAAACTTTTACGCTACTCTCCAGATAAACGATGTCGGGATCACTGACAGCTACAGCATATGAGTCCGGTCGCGAGGAACTGGCTTCAGAAATCGTCTGGGTAGTTGGAGACCTTGTCTTTTAAAAAAAAAAAAAAAAGTTTGCCCTTTTAAAAATAAAAAATTTGTTTTAAAGTAGTTATTTTTTGAGGTTTTCGGTATTTTGTATTTTTTATGTTTATTTTTTTCTTTTTTAAAGGTACTGAAGAACAGTGAGTTATACACTCACGGTGTGGTGGCCGGGGAAAGAGGGTGCGTGGGAAACGCACGGGCACTTTATAGCTCGAGCGGAGGAAATAGCAGCCAGGGTCGCACTCTGGATAACAGAAAAAACACGCGCACCGAGCATGCGGTGTAACATGACAGTACATTCAACAAGGAACATCCAACAGCGACATCTGGGTGCAACAGTCTACAGCACAAGGTTTCTTTTACATGAACATGGGTCACCCTCAAAATACTGACAAACATTAATTGGATCAAAAAGACTTATAAATAAAATTAACCCCCACATTATGGCATAATTCTCTGACCTGATATTTTATTATGCTCAAGTTCACCATATTTGCAAATCAGAAAAAGAAAACCAAGTTTACCAGGTAGACAGTTTACCATGACATTTACAGTTGTTTAAATTCCTGTAAAGAATGTGATTAATAAGTCATAACATGTTTTTACATTAACTCAAAATAAGTTAATAAATTTGCATCTTTAAAAAAAGGTTACACAAGATTCAAACCATTTAAGTCAGTTTAATAACTTAAGTTGACATGACTTAAACAAGTACAGTTCAACTTGGCTGTATAAGGCATCAGTTTTTTACAGTGATGTTGAGCATTAGCGCAAAAAAGCTAAACAAGTAACTTTAAGAACATCTGTCCCAATAATTTACATTTCATTGGTTTTGTCAATAGTAAATACATTGACAATAGGAAAAGTACTTCCAAGGTTAAAGTTAAAGTACAACATGGCTGTTTTGCACATACGCATTGGAAATTATAAGTGGAATCATAAATAAAAGTACTGATGTTGGTCTACTCTGTGAACTTGAGAGAGTAATCTATAGATTCTAGAACAGAATTTGTCCTTTATGACCAGTATGTCAAGATTATAAACATTAACCTTCAGTGTTCGCTAAACATCTGAAGAGCAATATGAAGCTGCATTTCACTATATAAAAAGCCTCAGCATTACCAGACACCCAAATGTTACTTTCCCCCTACCAAATTTCATGTAAAACCCTAGATAATCTTAAAAAAAAAAATGAAATCCAGTTAGTTATTAAATGACAAAGGAAAAATGTAATGAAAAAAAAAATGCTTTATTGGAGTTGAAATTTCAGTAAATACATTGGAATCATTTCACACAAAGGCAAAACACAGGTCACTGATGGATTTTTTATAAATAAAAGTCATAAATCACCAGTCCAATGACCTCAGTTCATCTAATAGGGATGAAACTAGACCTTTAATTTCAGAGGAGTCCTCCACCCGCTCATCCTTTTGTCTTTTCTCACCGTCCCGCTCTAATTGCGGAGTCTTGTCCCGTTTTCTCATGCTGGGCCTTTTCTGTTCTTCATAATTGAGAGAACTGGATCCATCTGCAGCTTGTTTCAGACTTAGTTTAGAGAAGAGAACTGGCTCTAATAATTTGGCTCCTTTAGAGCTTTTAAAGACCATCTCAGCCTGTCTGAAAACAACTTCACCCTTATCCTCAGCACTCTCAGAGAGCTTATCTGGTGTAGGGTTGACCAGTGATTTGTCATTAGAAAGAAAGTCAAATTCAGATTCAAGATTCAATTGAGGCTGCAATAAGTGACGTACTTCAGTCACAACAGGTTTTCCCTGAATCTTATGCAAGCGGGCAACGTCTTTAAGATGCCACATGCCCAATCGGTCCTCTGCAACATCATGCAAATCCACAGCTTCTACTTTAGCTTTTCCTTCATCCACAGCAACTGTCGGACTCGTCTCAGCAGTGCTTTCATCTGGTTTCAGCTTTCTAAAGGGTTCGTCACTTTGAAGGGTTACATCAACAGCATGGTTTTCTGGATAACCAATTCCCACTTGCACCACTGGTGGCAACTCAAGCTCCATGATGTCTGGTAGCCACATTGATAAATCCCCTCCCTGTCCCTGGCTGATTATAACCAAACCCCCAAAGCTAGGCTGAACAGGCCAGGGGGAGACATTGCCAATGTTTTGCATTGAGCTCCCGGAGAAAGAGGCACCTGCCATGATCAATCTTTTATCAGACAAGTTTCTGACTGTAGGGCTGGACTTTGTAGCACTGTTGTCTGACAGTGATGTAGATGACTGATCCTTAATCATCAGGGGGCCGGTGCTTACTACTGCATTCAGGTCTAGAGAATCTGTAACAGAGACAGTGGAGGTTCATTTCAAAGCAAAACATACAGGGCTCAGCAAGTTTTTTTTTTTTGTTTTTTTTAAGTTGGTCCAGCAGCTCTAATTCTTGATGAATGAGTGGTTTAATTTTTTGCATTTGCTAGAAATATTGGGAACACTTTAAAATAAGATTCTTTGGTCACATGAACCAGTTCTCTTTTAAATGTATTCTCTTTACTTAAATGTAGTATCAACTATAGGAGTTGTATCTTCACATTGATGCACTGTGAGCAGAATTGTATTTTATAAACCAAAGATTAAATGTAAATAAAACACTAATTGATAGCTCATTTTAGCTAATGCATTAAATAACCAACAAAATGAGACCTTAGCATCAAAGAAATATTGAAGTTCTTCCCTTCACAATGCACTTTCGTTTTACTAAGAGATCAATGAAATGTAACATTTAACCAAAATGGCTAGCGATAGTATGGTTAACTTGGCTGAAGCAGGCTATCCTTAATCTTGAGCCTGCCCTGGACATGGGTACTTTGTTCATTTGAGTTCCAGCTCATATACTAACCAGGAAGTTCTGCATGCTCCAAGCTTCTGCACCTTTTCCCACAACAATCACATACGGAGGTTTGGCCACCCAGGTCAACCCATCTGAAACAACAAAAGATGATTTTTTTTTAAGTTCCAAAAGCCTATTAGGACAAAGGACAAAAGACCAAATAAGAGCAAGATCGGATTCAAACTTACCTTGATTTGAGCTTGTTGTAATTGCAGAATTTAGTGACTGAGGTCAGACCCACATCAGAAAGATAGACTCTGCAGTGAAGATAAATCTAAAGCAAACAGGAGAGCATTACAGATCAAGCTATATGGTCGGTTTGTAGGATTGTAATAATCCTAACTGGGAATGAACACTCACCTCAGAAGACTTTAAACTGGACGTACGAACAACCAAATTGACCACATCACTACGTCGCAACACAAACTTCACCAAAGACTCTTTGGAGGCCACACAGCTGGTAAATATAAAAAAAGAAGGCTAAATTATTTCAGGGAGTAAGTGTAGAGAAAACAGCATTTGATGAGTTGATCTACCCTTTGTTAATGATTAGGGCGATTTCGGGTTTCTCAGCAGGGTTTGGAGAGGAGGACGCATGGCAGGACTGGACGTAAAGCTGTTGACCAGGGGCAGGCGAGGCAGACACCTGTAGATGCAACTGCTCTCCTTTGTGGAACACGTTAGTATCTGCTGGATCACTCCAAGATGCTAAAGCAAAACAAATATTAGACAGTGAGACACCAACTACACCTAATAGGATTAAGAGCATTTTAATAACATACAGTTCATGATCCTTAATGAAAAAACGTTTCTTCTCTCCAGTAGACCCATATCATATGGCATTGGGAAACCAGATGCAAACCCATCAAAAGTGTGAGGCTGAGGGATTCCATTCAAGAAAAGTCCATCTTCAGCAATGCCAGGAAAGTCAGAAACATGCCAGACATCATTTACCATTCCCGGGGAGTACGCTGAAATGCGGCCATTAAAATCATTCCCGTTAGATGTAACTGGCAGTGCTAGACACGCTATAGCGCAACAGAAGACGACAAAAACCGCCGCCATCCCAATCCTTTAGTTTTGATCTGAGAGAGAACCAGTACAGAGTAAATTACACAGCCACTTTCCTTGTCTTCTTTGTCCTGCCTTCCTTTAAATTGAAGCTGAGAGTAGGTTTACAATGTGCAGGTTAATGCATTAATGAGAGTCAGCTTATCAAGTCCAGGTGTTCAGGTTTACCTCATCAACGCTGACTACTGATTGGGCTTTTTTATTTTTCTTTCAGATTCATTAAATCTTTTGTTTATTTGATTTTTTAATAAACTAGACATGATTTTCAGAAGTAAATACCAATTTTGTCATTCATAAATTAAAAGTAAACCTTATTTTCATTGTTTTAAAAAAAGTTAATAGATCCGCAAACCCACCAAGATTATTACATAGGCCTATTTTATATATGGCAAAATCTGATCCACATTGGCTAAATTAACAGCAAATTTTCAAACTTTGTTTCGTAAAAAGTGTATTTGAAAGAATGAATTTATTTTTTTTGGAAAAAGAAAAAAAAGAATGTCAACAATCTAATGACATAACAGTGCTTGCCTTGGAGACGGTATAAACTCCATGTAGGTTACAGCGACACCTGCAGGGTGGCCAGGATCAGGTGAGCGCGCGGAGAGGGAGTGGCCATGCACGCACACGCAGGTGAACGGGAAGAAGGAACACAGCCTGAGAGACACGGTAAGAGGAGAAGATCCTTGAACATGTTAAACCTTTAATTATGACTTCGTCTGAAAGAAGGACTTCAGGATGGTGAATTCGGGTGAGTTGGGCATCATTTACATAAGTAAAGTGTTCATTTCATTTCATGGGGTGGGAGTATGAACAGGCTCGCGAACGTGGTCTGGGTGTGGTCATGTTTATCTTGATAATAGATCAACACAGCGCTCTCTCGCTGGCTGAATGTTACGAGTTTAGTAATGGCCGGCATTTATACTAATGTTGCCTACATTAATGTTTATTTCGGACCTGATGTCTTTTTTGTAGATTGTTTAGATTTATGGTGTGGAAGATTTGATATCCGCTATTAATGTGTTAAATGCAGCCTTTGTGATGGGATGTTTTTTTTATTTTTTTATGAAAGTTTTGTTATTATAAATGCACTTCACAGAAAATGAAAATTCCGTCTTCATTTACACACCATTAGCTACGTCCTTCCAAACTAGTAGGAAACTTGTCCTATAGGACTTCTGTGGAGCACAATAAAATAATAGCCTATATTTTCCATGCACTAACAGTTAATATTGAAAATGTGGAGCAAAAACACCGTAGACGTAGTCCGTTCATGTCCACACGTCAAGTCTTCTGAAGCCTGAAAAACAGACATTTACGCTGTCATGATGACGATCAAACCATTACAGTGAGGATTTAATAGTATTATTCTCCTAAATTATCTCTTAAAAATCTAAATGATATGGTTGAAAGTGTACAATACAGCTGTAAATTGTGATAAATATAAGTGTATGGGAATTCAGGTGTGGGAATCTCCATTACATCTGACCGTTATTTCATCACCTCCCGTTGCTTTTTAGTGAAGTCATGGCACATGAAAAGTGTAGTCTCAAGGTCATCTGGATTTCATGGTGCACAAAGTTCCTTGACATTTAATTTAAATGATGATTTGTTGTCTGGTCCTTTATCATCAATGTCCTGCTGTTTCTGTGTTTATGGTTCCTTGATATTGTGTGTGTTTGCTGTAGGTATTTGTTGTGGCAGTCTGAAGGATGACAAGATCCTGATGAAGATGGGTTTGGGACTGGTGCTGGTTGGTCATGTGAACTTCTTGTTGGCGGCACTGGTACATGGAGCTGTGCTTCGACACATAAAGGTGTTCACTTGGAACCGGAAACTCGTCTACCCCATCTCCAATGTCATTGCTCTTGTGGCAGGACTCATGGTATGTCCGTCCTCAAAACTGTAACATATTGCTTGCTTATTATCTCCACATTTCTGTTATGGACATTAGAGTTTGTTTGTGATCATTATCCAGTTGCCAGTGATGAGGCATAGCCAGATGAGGCATAGCCAGGTGTGTTAGTTGAAACTTTAAACTAACCCCTTGCACTGAATGAATCCACACTGTAATTCATACATCTGACCATGTTATAACCTGCAGGCAATCATTGGTGGAATTTCAGCTATTGTTCTCTCAAAGAACAAGAAAAACCAGCTGCTGGTGAGTACACATACCCACACTCAATACTGTCCTTTTTGTTATGATCACATTTGTTATTTATGTGTTTTTGCTACATGAGGTTTATTTGCTGCCACTTCAAAACATTCACTTTATTTTGTTCTATAGAAAGACTCGTTTTAGAGTATTCATGTATTTATTTCGGAACACATTCTATCTTTGTTGCAGAGTTGGTTTCTATTAGTTATGAGTGTCCTGGCTATTCTTTTGGGTGCCGCCTCTGCAGTGGGAATCAGTGTTGCTACAGTGAGGGTCATATATCTGGATGGGGAGAATCTGTTTGCCCACTGCAACCGGTCTGCCATCATAAATTTGTACAGCATCACAAATGAATGCCCCTTTGACCCCACACGCATCTATGTAAGTCAATTTATCGGCAGTCTGATGAGTCCTTGTGTAATTAAATGCAAAAGACTGATATGATTCTCATAAATGCCAAATTTTTTAAAGAGTTCTTTCTCTGTTTTAGTGTGCAACAGTTTTGGTGACTTAAATGCATCTCAAGCCACTAAAGCAAAGTAAATCTATTATAAAACTCATGTACGATCAGATTTTATCCTGAATTTATTCCATGTTAAAAGTGAGGAATAAAGCCATAAAGGTAAAAAACAAATGTGCAAATGTTCTAATGTGTACGCCAACTTAAGTGCATGTGTACAAACCTTTTGCACTCATATACCAGTATTAAAATATTACAACAGTGTTAATTAAAATAATGAAAATAACTTGTTTATTAAAATATATGTGAAGCATGTTAGTATTTACACCAAAAAAAAGGTTTTAAGTCAGTTTACATTACCAAACATTCCTTTTACCATTGATCCAGTGAGATTTTTGTATGCACAAGGAGTCTGACAACAGCCGGTGCTCCACACGGAGATCTGGGGCCTCGTGTACAAAAAGACTTGCGGTGAATTCCTACTAAAACATTGCGTACGGACAAAGCTGTAAATGTGCGTACGCACAAAAAAAGCAGATGTATGAATCTCTGCGTACGAAGGATCCCACGCATATTCTCTTTGTACATCCCAATTAACGTAAAATTGAGCGCACATGCACGAGCACAACGCCCCACCCAGTCTCCTCCCCCAATTAAATTAATTTAAATATGGTAATTTGTCCATTTTGGCAAAAGAAACCTACAAGAAGCGAAATTTCACTGAAAATGTCTTCTATGTGAATATATAGTAAAGTGTAATTTATTCCTCTGATCAAAACTGAATTTTCAGCATCATTACTCCAGTCTTCAGTGTCACATGATCCTTCAGAAATCACTCTAATATGATGATTTGATGATCAAGAAACAGTTATGATTATTATCAGTGTTAAAAACAGCTGTGCTTCTGCTTCATATTTTCGTGGAAACCATGATATAGTATTTTCAGGATTCTTTAATGAATAACTTAAATCAAACAGATGTCGAAATCTTATCATTTGTAACATTATAAATGCATTTAGTGTCCCTTTTACTTGTCACTTCAATGTGTCCTTGCTGAATAAAAATATTACTTTCTTTTTTATCTTTACTGACCGAATTAATAAAGTTTATTTTTTATTCCTAGTTAAGCCAACGCTGCCATTGCTAGACGGGTAGTATCAATTTGGACATGCTTTATATATGTTCTTACTTAATTGCATAATATAATATTTTTTAAAAACTCGTGTGACAATAATATGTCAAATAATTGATCAATTACAAATTATAAGCAATATCTGACAGCTGGTGGTGCGATAGAACAATTCGCGGTGTAATGTTTGCCACTTCACTTTATTGCCTCTATGAGTCGCCAACGGACAAAAATCACGACAAATGTACGTACGCCAGACATGAAGTTTGTACTGTTAGTACATCTGGCCGTGAACGTGAAAGCTGACGTACGCCGTGTTTTTGTGCGTACGCAGTGTTGATACATGAGGCCCCAGATCTTACAGTCATCAAGTCTGTCTGTGATTACATGAAGAAACAGAAAAAACTGAGACAGTCTAAATCTAGAAGTACTGTGGCATCGTCTCCAAGACGCTTGAAGAAACTTGCATCCGCTTCACGTCAGGGTCCTCATCACCCTGTCGGAGGTTTATTCTGAGATAACAACCGGCTGGATGTACATTATCCCTAACATATGCTCACAACTAGGATGCTTCTATGCACAACTTTATAAATAAGGCGTCAGGTTTCGGCATGGAATTTTTAAATTGAAAAAATTATTTATTCTCAGCTCTACATATTTGGCTAAAATTGCTTATTTATTATTATTTAAAGAAAATCAAGTAATCACAAATGCATGGAAATGTCATGCAAAAGTCATGGAAATTCATTGGTAAAACGGTGTTGGAACCCCATGGGACATAATGCGAAATTAGCAAGTGAAAGGAAATACAAAAAAAAAGAAAGAAATGAAGACAATATATATTTACAATATTTAAAACAATATTTAAGATATATTTCTCTCTCCAGGGTACTACATTAATCCTATGGTTTCCATTGATTCTGATGTCAGCGGTGGAGGTTGTGTTCTCCTGCCGCTGTTTCTTGGCCTGCACGTCGTTCCTCCGGATGCGCTGCCCGTGGAGAAGAACCGTCACTAAAAGGGTAAATAGATCTACATGCGCTTTTCTGAAGGAAAAACTTATAATACTTGCAAAGCTGCATAAAAGTAGTGTTAAAGGTTGACTTGCATTTGAATTGAATGCAATCAAGACGAATCAGAATTTGATATGAAATCATTTTGGGTTACAGATTGTTTTAAGAGCGATTTTGCATGCTAGCTCCACATTAAACTTGATAAACCTTTGTGTTTGAATGCAATGTAAATGTTGGGGTTTAGGTGCGTGTCCAGCTGCCAGAAGAAACCTCAATGCCACCAGGAGATGATCCAAATGAGGAGGAGCCAGCAGAACAACATGACCTACTTGCTGTGGAGACAAGTGAACTGTAATTCAAAAGTAAACATTACATGAACAATACATGCTTTTCAAAACCGCTGCATGACAGTGGACCAAGAAATACCAAGTGCCAATGCACATAAAACATAAAAGTGTACTGCTCACTGAAGAGGCTAGCAGGTGAAGAGAGGCGGTGCTTCGACATCTAATGAAGCACTAATGATGAGTGTTATTCTTCAGTCTTAAACGGTCAGACTGTGTGACCAAGTACTATATAAAGTGCATGTTTTATATATTAACCTCATGAACATGTTTGATGTGCGTGTTTAATGTTACATTTTCTGCACTGATGGGTTTCCTTGTTACATTTATATTAAAAATACTTTTCTATTCGAAACTGAATTGCTTGGACACAGTCTCTATAATTTTTGCTAAATATTTATAAAACTCTTTATTATTATAAAACTACTATACATTTACATTGAAGAAAAAAAAAAGAATTTTTTTTTAAGGCTGTGTGGCTCTGTTTCATAGGAATATAATTGGCCATGCTTGGGAAGTGATGTTCCTTGGTTTAATTTTTGGCCTGGGCTGTGTTTCCTAAAAGCATCATAAGCCTAAGTTGATAATAGAACAATTACCATCGATGATCTCTACGATAAACATCCGATGCTTTTGGGAAACGCAGCCCTGGTAAGAATTGTTGGTCTATGACCTTTTGATAACCTCTTAACCCCAATGTTGTGAGGGTGAGAATGAAACTAAAAGAAATGTCACTTTAAGCCTGTTAAATAAAACAAGCTGCGGTCAGTGAATCTGTAAAAGAGCTGTCTAAATAGATGAAACGAGACAGAATGAGGCCAATTTATCTCTTGGACTGTTTTACTGGTTCAGTAGTTCATGATGCAGTTATTTATAAAAATAAAAAGACAAAATAAAAAAAATAAAATGAAAAGTAAAATAGCAGAATGCACAGAAAGCAGAAATACTAAAAGGTGAAAAGCTCAAAGGGTGAACACAAAGCAGGACATTCTCTCATGCATTGAGACCAATCCACAAATCCCGGTTTAAAGGTATAGTTCACCCAAAAATTTTGATTTCTGTCCCTCCATTGACGGCTACAAAAAGTTCATAAAGAGATCATAAAACGAATCCTTATAAATTGAGCGGTTTAGTCCAAAATTTTCTGAAGAGACCCAATCGTTTTATATGATAAACAGATTTAGGCTTTTATTCACGTATAAACATTCATCAACTCGCACATAATTTGTGGTAAACGGAAGCTCAAGCATGTTCACTTGACGTGAGTACCAATGAGGTTCATTATCGTGTTACGCAGCACGTTTGAGCTTCAGTAAGAACCAATGAGATTCATTCTCGTGTTAAGCAGCACGTTTGAGTTTCCACATAAGGTTTGTTCTCGCATGTCAATCAGGTTCGGTTGAGCTTCTGTTTTTGTTCGCTGATCAATGTTTATATGTGAATAAAAGCCTAAATTCAGTCTGTTCATAAAGCGATCGAGTCTCTTCAGAAAAGTTGGACTAAACCACTCAATTTGCATGGATTAGTTTTATGATCTTTTTGATGCATCAAAGTGTCAGTTGCGTAGCTGTCAACTGAAAGACAGAAATTGCTCAGATTTCATCAAAAAGGTCTTCATTTGTGTTCCAAAGAATAACGAAAGTTTTACGGGTTTGGAACAACGTGAGGGTAATTGACACAATTTTCATTTTCACTGTTAATCATTGGCTTATTCTCATCAAAATGAAAAAAGTTTCTTTTGTCTTTTTACTACACTTAAAACATCAAAACATTAAGTCTTTAATGTGACCCCATGGGCTGTCATTTTGTTCAAATTCTGCTGTTCATAAGATGAATCTCTTCAGCAGGGCTGCTCCTGGTACTGTCTCTCTGTGGCGGTGAAAAAGTCCTCTAGAACACTGCGCAGGTACTCAAAGGTGGGCCGGTTGTCTGGGCTCTCTGTCCAGCAGTGTTTCATGACGTTATAGAGAGCCTCTGGGCAGTTATCGGGGCAAGGCATGCGGTACCCTCTCTCAAGGTTTGCGATCACCTCTGGGTTTGTCATCCCTGAAAGATCAGGAGTAACAGTGAAAAGAAATTCTGAGATATGGCAAAATGAGGTCAAACAGGAAGCACATTGAGCTGGTTTGTTACCTGGATATGGGATTCTTCCATAAGTAACAATCTCTGTCAGCAGTACTCCAAACGACCAGACATCTGATTTGATCGAAAAGGTGCCGTAGTTTATGGCCTCAGGTGCAGTCCATTTGATGGGAAACTTTGCACCTGTGTGATTTTAAAAAGGCATATTTTTAGGTGTCTTTTAAAGTTTAGCAGCCAGAATTTCTCGCATAAACGGAGATTCTGTGGTGATGTAATCCTAAGGTAAATTGACAGACCAAAGCATGATGCAGCTGATGACCTTACCCTCTCTGGCAGTGTATTCGTTATTTTCGATGAGGCGGGCGAGGCCAAAGTCGGCGATCTTGCAAATGAGCTCAGCAGACACCAAAATGTTGGCAGCTCTCAGGTCTCTATGGATATAGTTCTTCTGCTCTATGTAAGCCATTCCCTCTGCGACCTGCAGGGAGCAGTAAAGTGTTAATAATAAGGCTGTGTGTGATTTATCGCTATGTACTACCATGCAATTATTTCTGCAGTATTTATACCATGCAAAGTATTTATGAAATACTAAGATGACGTACATTTGGTGTATATAATAGAGAATACTGCACTAGATGCTGTATCTCACAATGCGGTGTGCTTTACTTGACCTTCTATTTCCAGTGTAAAAAATGAACTGCAATTAATATTTGCTAAAAAAAAAATCGTATATCTCCCCCATGAATCATTATTTTATAAAACAGTCAAATACTGTAAAATGCATTCATTTTATCAAAAATACAATAAAATCAGTAATACTGTTAAATATTATTACAATTCAAAACAACAGTTTTTTTTTTGTCTTAATATTTTTGAAATGTCATTTATTCCTGTGATGACAAAGCTGATTTGATAGCAGCCGTGATAAAGGATTCTTTGATGTACAAAGTTCAATAGAACAGCATTTATTTGAAATGGAAATCCTTTGTAAAATTATAAGTGTCTTTACTCTCAGTTTTGATCAGTTTAACACATCCTTGCTGAATAAAAGTATTAAATTCCTCTTTTTTTTATGATGGAATGTGCAACAACATGGTCATGTGACAACAATATTCCATACTATAACAGTTTACTGTTGCATAAAAGTTTCACATACTATTTTTGCAAAACTGTACACAGTAGGCTAGTATTTCATTCCGAACATAAAACACGTTACACAGACAGAGGTCAGTTCCTGAAACAGGGAGGGTTTTGCTTTAACTTCCTTTGATTTGACTTTTAACCTCCACTGCTCCACTCCACCCAGCACAAACCCATAGGTTTCATTCAGAAGGTTGGTTTGCTGCTATACTTCCTGATGCCTGATGCATCATCTTTCTTATTTTCCCCATGTTTGAGCTAGCTCCAGTCTTGCCTGATCTCAGAACAGTGATGGCTGCTGTGCTTCTCAGAGGTCTGCTATTTCTGACCCAGACGCGTAGAATGAGAGGGAAGGACAACGGTTCTCCCAGATCAGCTCTTTGGTGTTCCTGCCATGCTTTAAAACTCTTTCACATAAAATTAGACTGTGAGGCCAGACACTATCATGTGTGTGTGTGCAGATGCATTATGGGTGATGCATGATGGTTGTGTGATTTTGCATTTGTTGCAACCCTGTACATATTTTTTTATAGAGGATGTTGCACTATGACACCATGTGCATGTTTGTTCAAGGAAGTGTTACACAGACCGTCAAAAACGTGTTGGTTTAATGTGAAAGTGCCTGACAGTTTTGCATAAATGTGTGGGCATGTCTGTGTCTGTGTGTTGATAAGAGGCCTGTAAGTATATAAGTAGTCATTTCGCCAGGACCTTTTAAAAGCCCTGAATGATCTCATTCACTTTATGGAGAAGAATAGCTGAAAAATATCACACGGCACAAGCTGTGAAAGCCTGAAGCAAAATGTCTCTTTTTAATGCCGCTTCAAAACATTCCATCTCTCACTTTCCCTCTTATCCTTTCTCCGCCAACATTTCATTGAATATTTTGAAAAACGATACCATCGTTTCTTCACATTACCAAGAAAGAGAGAGACCATCTCCTTATATCTATCCCATGTCACATCCCATGCCTGTGAACCTCTGACCTGCAACACTGCTCAAAAACATCAGTGTTTTCTCATCTTCACACTCCAATCACTTACACACTGAGCGCATGAGACACTCACTATTAAAGACATTCATACCATGAGTGATCAAGACCATCTGATAGCCTAATTTTTAACCCGATCAGTCGATTCTAGGAATAAACCCAGAGCTGGATCAAAGCGCAAACTCTCTACTAAGAAAATTACAGTCTGTCAATAGTTCATGGACTCTATTAGATTCTACACTACCGTTCCAGCCAGAACTGTTCCCATAGTAATTAGATGTTCTCAATGAAGCATGGAGTGTCATTAATTAGGTCAAGAATTACTGTTTTAGGTCCTCACAATCTGTATACAATATTTCCCTGCAAACAAACAAAGAACTGTATGTTTGCCCAGTGAATGTAAATGTAATGCCAGTAAGAAATAATTTATTTTCTACAGTATCTGTGAACGCATTTATATTGTCTGTTCATCTAGTCGGTTTATAGATTGGTGTGGGTAGTTGTTGTTGTATTAAAATGTCTAGACTCGGTCCAGCACACACAGTTATGCTCATTGTTAACCATAAGATTAGGAAGCAGAACAGCAGCTGAGTAATGCTGACGTCACCAGCTTAGAGACAGCGGTCAAATAGAGGAATGAGTGATTAACAGAATATACAAGGGTCTGAAATGTAGACTTGAGCTTGTAACAAGTAGAAATTTGGGATAGTTTGTTTCCTGTGGGGCACAGATGTCTCACCCCTGATGTTTTGAGCGCAGTATTGACACCCCCACCCCCACCAAAAATGATATGGTCAGCCTACCTGGGCGGACATGTCGATCTGCGCATTGATGCTTAAATTAGATCCTTCTGGAGTCTTCAAAAAATCCACCAGGCTGCCTAAAAGTCAACACGACATTTTAACATGCATATATTTTATATACAGCAAAACATGCTATGACAGAATTTAGTAACTTTGCACCGTAAACCATAAAATGTTAAATGTGCTTGACTATGAAACCTAGACACTAGTTGGCGCTAGTGAGATTTACCAGGGTATTTTCCACTCCCAGCATCCACTGCAATAGTCTGAATAGAAGGTTACATGTTAAAAAAAACTGCTTCGATTTTTCTACACATTTTATTTATAGTTCGTAAGTCTTCTCTTGTCTTCAGCAGCCTTTTTTAAACATTCTTTTACCACAACTGAATGTTACCGGAAGCACGCTCTCTCCATCAGTCATTTTAGTTCAAAGGCAAAAGGAAACAGCAGATAGATGAATGCTGTTATTTTGGTCCTTAAAACGTTCTGTAAGCTCTTCTCAAAGTTACCGAGAAGCGCAAACAATAGCACTCAGATTAGATCCAAGAACTAGAACATAACAACTGCAGGAAATTAGTGCAGCCAGTTTGGATCAGTCGCTGAGACGTTTAATGTCAAAGGCCAAAGTTGTTGCTTTTGAGACGACAGGCTGTGTTGGAAAAAGAAGAACTGACTGACCCTGAAGGAAATTCCCACAAAGGTGCAGCGGAAAATGCCCCATTAGGAACTCTAATATCATGCGCCGTACACATTCCTTTGATCTCAGATCACATTAGGGTGTAAAATTCAAGGTCGTGGGTTAAGTTTAGATGAAGTTTCAGTGTTTTTGAATCATTCTGTCATTGTCTCCATTGTTAAAATGACAGAGGGGTGGAAAAGGGGCACATCAACCTCTTCTTTAAAATAACAACACAGACAACAATTGTACTTTTAAACACATCACATGGACTCCAAACAAATAATTGGGAGGTTTACAAGGCGAGCATAGTGTTCCATCAGCTTCCTTTAAGAGGGAACACAAAGCGGGAGCATTCACAAGCTCTGCCATCAGCTCGCTGACGTTGTAGTAACGTGGCTGTTCCTCTTAGAGTCTTTTGTTACTGTCGGGGTCAATATGACATTCTGGAGGCCCAGCAATCCTCTTAGGGGCAATGAGACCAACAAACAATCCATACTGGGTTACATATGGAATAACGTGCATCGCAATACGCTTGTGATGACGACCCAAGGTGCTATTGTTGCGTTAAAAAGAGATAGGGTGTGGAGATCTTTTCTGTGAACACCTGTGACCATGGTGGCCATTTATGAGTCTGATTTGTTGTAGTGAGTTTCTGGGTGGTTGGCTCTGAATTAGAAAGCATTCCCGATACTAGCCTATGGAACAAAGACTTTCTTTCTATACCTCACATTGTATCTGCCCTTTCCTCTCTCTCTCTCTCGCTCGCTCTCTCACTTTCTCTGTCCATCTGCTTTCTGCCTCACTCCGTCTCTTTTTAATGTGATGGAATTCACGCTATAACTGTGACCCTGCTTTCTATGTGAGGCCTGTTTGATGGTGCTGTGCATTGTTCTAAGTAGGTTGCAGTGAGATGCTGTGTTTGTATGAGGGTTTTATTGTGCATTAGTAGTTAGAGAAACATAACGCAACAGAGCTGCAGCTATAAAGATCTTTAGCTCCTAGGCTCCTTAGGTTTCTCAGGAGAATATCGCAAAAATAAAAGGGAACCAAACAATATTATAGCATCTCAAGCCTTTAGTTTAAAGGAATAGTTCACCTAGAATTTAAAGTGTCATCATGGTGCTTTAAACCTGTATGGTTTTCTTTCTTTAGTGGAACACATTTTTCTCTCTAAGGGAGACATTTTGAGGAAGGTTCACGCTGCACTTTTCAGTATAGTGAAAGCGAATGGAAACCAACGGCTGTCAAGCTCCAAAAATGACTGAAATATTCTAAAAGCACCATAAAAGTAGTCTTTAGGACTTGTGCAACATTTTCCATTTCATTTGAAGCGGTTTTATGCCTTTTTTTGTGCTTGACAACAGAAAAAAGCAGCATAAACATTGTTAAACATCTTTGGTGTTCTACAGAAGAAAGAAAGTCATATGGGTTATGAACAAGACTAAGTGAATGATGACAGAATTTTCATTTTTGGGTGAACTAATACTGAAGAAAGGACAGGAGTGGTAACAGGGATGGAAAATTGTTTAAAAATGTTTTGAAGAAATGGAACTTCTCAAATGTGCATCAGACCTGAGTATTACAACAACACCAACATTTTGAGAACTAAAATAGAATGATGTGACACAAAACACAAGGAATTGGACAAGCGTTCTACAAAACTAAAGTGGGTAATTGTATGTTCTAGATAGAACACTCAAGGTGGGAATGCCAGATATGAAACACAAGCTCTGCATGCATGCTATTTACAAGAGTGTTACGGGAGACGTCAGAACCGCTTAGTGAACAATGACTGGCATTATGAAGGAATAAACATCAGGGCCGTAACTACCACCTTGACGGGGACATGTCCCCCCAAATATTCAGATTAGTGGTTGAGTTTTACTGTAAGTTTGAGTTTATCTGTAAGTTTTACTTTTGGTCCCTCTTAATCTTGAAAATTCACACTAGCTACTGTTCAAAAGGTTGGGGTCAAGATTTTTTATTTTTTTATTTTAGCAAGAATCAAATTAAATGGACTGAAACTTTTACATTGTTACAAATAATAATCCCAAAAAAATATTGAAGGGTTAGTTCTTTCTTGACAAAATATGTCCAACGCCTGTTTGAGATTAATATTTTGTAAATAAAGTTGTAAATTATGTTTTTTTGCGCAAACAAAGCAGTCGCGCCTCCTCGTAAAACCACTGGAGTCTACTTTAATGATGTCTTTACTATAGTTTTCTGTCTTCATCTTCAGTTGTGTTCCGAAGATGAACGAAAGTCTTACATTAAGGGTTTGGAACGACATGAGGGCGAGTAAGTTAATTAATCACAAAATTTTCATTTTAGGGTGAACTGTTTTATTATAATAATAAGAAATGTTTCTTGAGCACCAAATCAGCATGTTAGAATGATTTCTGAAGGATCATGTGACACTGAAGACTGCAACATTTTTTTATTTTTTATTATACTTTACAATATATTAAAATAAAAAACAGTGATTTTAAATTGTAAAAATATTACAGTTTTTACTGTATTTTTGATCAAATAAATGCAGCCTTGGTGAGCCTAAGAGACTTCTTTTGAACGGTAGTGTATACTGTTGCTAAATCTCCATTTTATGAATAAACGGGGGAACGTGGGCGTTGTATGTTAACAAAGATGTATGTATAATCATAGTTAAACTTAAAATGTCCATAGCTGTGCACAGTGTTGGGGGTAACTCATTACATCAAATCAGATTACTTTTTTTCAATTAACTAGTAAAGTAACGCATTACTTTTAAAATTTACCAAATATCGGAGTTACTTTTTCAAATAAGTAACGCAAGTTGCTTTGTTTTACCATTTATTGACTGACAGCGCTCTTGTCCCCATGTTGAGACAAACTGAAGTGCAGAGGCGTTGTGTGTAAAGATGAGGGTTATTGTAGTTCTTGTGAGCGTGCATTTACTCATCTCACTTGCACAAAAAAGATTAAATATTCCTCAAAATGAATACAATCAGTGAAAGGCAGAATCAGAATACTATGCAAACCTCCAATAATTAAATATGTTAAAGCTCCAGTCCCTAACTTTTTTAAGTTAAAAATAATCCAAAATAATTATATAAAAAAAAAACTTATTCTGCCAGTGGTCAAAACTATCTGCTTGCCATAGCTAGATTCAAAACGGTTAGCTTGTAATAATGATTTTAATTCCAGTGGTACTGGTGGGTTTCCGCGGGAAATTCGAGCATGTCTTTGCGTCATTACGTCACACCCGTACACATAAAGAAGGAGTTTCGGCTAGCCGGCTATACTGCGCGTGACGAGATGTTTAGATGTATAGGCTTTTCTCGCAGCACTTTACATAATTAAACTTATGGCATCCAGAAAGATCCAAACAACAATCATCAGTGTCAACTGGAGATTCAGCAGTTATAAAACCCAAAAGACTTCGTACTTCGGATTTAAGGTGGCTAGAGAAAGAGAAAGAAACCGTCTCATGCGAACACAAGGATACACATCGGCGGGGCTTTTGAAAAGTGCGTGAACTCCGTGTTTTGAAGGGGTTCAAAACGGAAGAAGAGACGGCTTTTTTCTGCTGAACAAGTAAGTTAAGACATTTCAATAGTTCAATCGTGTAACAGTACGTTTTCTTAATTCACACAGTTATGGAGTTTCCTTTGTTGTGCCTTTCTCGTTTTGCTATTATGGAGAATATGAATTCTGAACTACACAGGTAACCATAAAACACATTAAATTTAACATTAGTCACGCAATGCTGATGTTGTTAACATGAACAATTTGAGAACAAAGTAGGCTATTTGCACGGTTGCTGTAAATCGCGTTGATTAAATCTAACGAAGCTTATCATGTCCAATGCTTTTCCCCCCTTAGTTGGTCAGAACAAAAATGGATGTTACTTACTTGTTCAGAAGACATTTTCTTATGAAAATTCTTATGTTGGTCAAACTTTCAAAAAATGAATCTGTGATTCTGTATGACAGTATCCACACAGCGCGGTGACTGACAGCAGCACTCGCCTCAAAACACTGTGTTCTTCCGCGCTGTTTCATGCCGATTTACAACGCACGTAAAGATGATAATTCCGCGAATCACTGCAGTTACAGATTTCGAACAGAGAGATGGCGACAAAGAGGAAAAGATACGGACTGCAGCTTTAAATAAAACACAATTTTTTATGCATTTAATCTCAATTTATTGACCAATGTACTTGCTTCTGACCTTCGATGATTCAGGTAAAACCATAGGCAAAAATGACTATAGATTTTTTTGTTTTTATTGGTCTGTAAGTAGGTAAGAAACTTTTTTTACTCCTGCATCCTATTCTTCCATTATCCAGAAAGGCAGCACAGCTGAAAGGTTTACTTGAGCTGCGCCCTCTACTGTACACGCATAAATTTACATTTCCTTCAGCCTGAGGCTTATTATTTCACTTTTGGTGTGAAAGGGTCTTTACATTTGCCCAAACATATAAAAAATGTTGTTATAAAAAAACAAGCCCAGCCCAGGTGAGAAAAAAAGTTACACAAAAGTAATGTAACGCATTACTTTTCTAAAAAGTAACTAAGTAACGCAATTAGTTACTTTTTAAAGGAGTGACGCAATATTGTAATGCATTACTTTTCAAAGTAACTTTCCCCAGCACTGGCTGTGCATTCGTCCATAAGAAAAAGAGGCAGACCACATGTTTGTAAATGTAAAAAACACTGCGGTCAATGAAAGAGACCGAAAAAAAGTTGCCCCTCAAAAATACTGTACAGAGTCATTCAGGTGAGTGAGGGACGCATTTTGAGATGCCTTCAGTATCTTCAAAGCTGTGAGAAAGCTTTGTTTTCATAGAGCGGACACAACTGTTGAACTGCTCTGGGCTTTAACACACTCAAACAACGCTCAGACAGTGCTCACGGCCCTGATACTACTCAGACTTGTTAGATCATGAAATCCTGATGAAAATTTAAATGGAAGTTACTCAATGAGACTGTCTGTGTTTTGTAAAGAACGTTCAGGTGAAATGCAGGGATGAATCATTTAGTACTATGAAGCATTTGTCATTTCATTGAACTCTCCCCTCCTTTGTTTGAACGAGTGTGTAAGTGCATCTGTGTGTCTCACCGTTCTCCATGTACTCTGTGATGATATAAATGGGCTCCTGTGTAACCACAGCGAAAAGTCGCACCAGTCGAGGGTGCTGCAGGGTCTTCATCAGGTTTGCTTCTGCCAGGAAAGCACTCATGGACATGGTACCTGCCTTGAGACTCTTGATAGCCACTCGACGGTTGTTGTTATACAGCCCTATAAAAGGAGAGCGAGAAAAAGTGATTATGTCTTATTTTAAAGGGGTAGTAGTTCACCCATATGAAAATTCTGTCATCAAGTTTTTCATGTTGTTTCAAACCTGTATGACACAAAAGAAGAATGTTGCCAACCATGCCCATTGATTTCCATTGTATATGGACAAAAAAATCTCAAAATTTCTTCTTTTGTTTTCCACAGAAGAACAGTCATATTGTTTTGGAATATGAGAGTGAGTAAATTATTATAGAGTTTTATTTTTTGTGTGTTTGACTATCCCTTTTAGGCTCAATAATCTGATTCTCAAAAATAAACATGTAGAAACTCATTCACCAACTTGAGACGAACTATTTCATTAAGGTCTGAATTTAATCTTTCTGTTTGGATCACATACTTATAAAAAAATTTAGAAATAAGTGGCCATGTGAAAACTACTGCTACTTCCTTATCATGAGAGTGTTTTTGCATAAGGGTGCTTGTAAAGAATTTGCTGTGTGAGAAATTCACAATGTTTTCCTTCATTGAGTTTCTTTGGCTTCACATTGTTTGACTGCTTTATAACCGGTTGACTTTATTTCTATGGGCTTGATTTGTGTGATGTTATCTCACCAATGAAAATAACCGAGGTTTAATGAACCGGTCCATTACACGGAACAGTTCTTTCATTTGAATAAAGAAAGTCATTCACTGCAAAAAACAAACAAAATGGCACCTATGATGCGGGCTCTCGTGGTCACGGAGCTGACAGGCAGTGATGATAACAAGTCAGTTGCTATGGCAACCAGGAACAGGAAGTGGTAAAAACTCAAGCATTGATGTGACTTCCATAGTTCTATTTTTAGGGTCAACACAGGACAAGCATGATTTCACTGCTGTAGTTTGTTTATGTTTAAAAACTTGACACATTTAAATCTTCTCAACATATAGAGTGTAGGCCGTATATGAAGATGATGTTACTGTAATAATCACAAAACTGCAGCATCCTGTTGGTAACTAAACAAAATTGTGTATCATAATGAATATAGCCTACTTAATATTCTAGATCAGTTCTCAACTGATCAGGCCCATTGGTTGAGAACAACTGAGAACCAAGTCTTCTCATTTTTTTCTTCAAGACTGGTCAATTACATTAAAAGAGATTGGTCTAATTTGAATCCGAAAAAAAAAATAAGACTGATAAGCTCTAACTAATTGCTAGTTCATCAGACACAGTCTTAACTTAGTGACCGTTTAAGCAACTGGCCCCAAGACAACTCGTCACTCATGAGATCACAGCTATAGCAAACCACAACAAACCAAGCAATTCTCAATGGACAAAATCAAGCCCCGCCCTACATTTATTCTTGTTTATTTCACTCAGATATACGTCACAATTGGGAAGAAAAGAACTTTCGTTTTATGACGTATTGTAACATATTAATACTACCAGTTTCTGTTTGAAAACAAGCAGCTTTGTCATAATTACATCAGAAATTAGGAAAATATCTTAGCCTATATGGCGGGGCTATGAATTTTGTCCAACACAAAATTTAAATCTAAACGGTTGAGAATCTCTGTTCTAGATAGATAAATACAATAGCTACCACAAAAGTTCATTTCACCCAAAATTCATCTTTAAAAGTTATTCAAGGTGAGTTACGAATGCCTGTTGTTAGTTGTGTTGAGTGTAAAGAGTGAGTTTAAGCACACATACATGAGTATAATTGTCTTAGATCACAGGATGAGTGAGACCAAAATGCTGAATCTGCTAATTTACAGTGCTCTGACTGACTTCAATGCTGAACATTTGTCAAACGTTCCAACAAGCTTACTGTATTTACAGTTATGATATGCCAGGCGGTTGCTGAGACACTCAAAGAGCAGCACATACTCTTTAGCCTGTAGATGCATGTTTATCAATACCCTTTTATGATGGTCCAATTCACAATGTTTGCTCACACTCACAAACATTTCCAGACAAGCACAGACAGACCTGCCCAGGCACCTGGATGCTTAAATGCATTTTTTGGGGGGGGGGGGTATTCTTGTACTGGTGTTCCAAGTGGTTTGACATTGTCTCAATGTATATAAAAATATGTGAAAATATGCTTTATGTTTATTCGTCAAGAAAGTAACCGATTACCATTAATCCCCACTGTAAAAATACTCAATTCTGTTGTTGAGAAATAGGAAGTAAAACACTTCTTACCCATCCATACTTCTCCAAACTGCCCTTGCCCCAGCCTGCGCTCTAGATTGAGAGACTCACGGGGAACTTCCCACTCATCCTGCCACCAGGGCTTCTGAGGGGCTCGGGTCTGACACGGTTTCACCAGGCGGGCGCATAGTCCATCAGCCTCTCCTGCACAGAGAAAGAGAAACAAATCGTGTCACTTTTCAACAACACTTCATTTGGGCTCTTATAAACAGCCTGATCGAACTGTTCTTGTCTTACGTCTTTTATAAATAATCTGACAAGCGATTTGTCTAAGGCACATATGAATACTCAAACATACGTGAATAATGTTTGACCAGCTCTGAGAGGGAGGTGAAGGAGATCTTGGTGGTGATGTAGAATCCGCCTGCGTCCAGGTTGCGGATTCTGTAGTGCTTGATGATGTCACCCTGTGTTTGGTCAAGGTCTCGCATAGATAGGGAAAAACTACCTGAGGCACCAGAACAAGAAGACAATCAGCGGCTGCCAAGTGCACATCTACTTTCACAACACAGAGAATTTCTAGACTGGAGGCTTTTTACAGTTAATGACATGTAGAAAATGTTTTAGCAACAATTTAGCAAATGTACACGATTTCAACCGCTAGCCCCCCTGAGAAATATAGTAATCCCCCCCCCCCCCGGTACACGATTTCAATCGCTAGCCCCCCTGAGAAATATAGTAATCCCCCTGGTACACGATTTCAATCGCTAGCCCCCCTGAGAAATATAGTAACCCCCCCCCGGTACACGATTTCAATCGCTAGCCCCCCTGAGAAATATAGTAATCCCCCCTCCCCCCCCCCCCCCCCTCGGTACACGATTTCAATCGCTAGCCCCCCTGAGAAATATAGTAACCCCCCCCCCCCTCCCCCCAAGTCATGTGTCTTGGCACCGGGACTATGGGACTGTGGCACTGTCTGATGTGGCCTCATGCTTTTGTGTTTGTTTTTGTTGTTGTGTGAGAAGCAATGCGTTGTTTCACACCTGGGTTGGTCTCACTCTCTCTGATGAGGAAGGAGCCCTGTGTGTTACCAGGGGCCAGTAATTGCCTCATGGCGTCGTTCCTGGAGAGATTTTTAAAGAACCACCTGCAACACAACATTATTGTCATTTTATTAGGGCTTTGGTTCATTAAGTATCTCATTTGGATCATTTATTTTGAGTTTAAATTGTTTTGAAGATACAGGGTTGGGGCGTTTCACTCCTCCCACGCTCAGAAGAGAGACACTGAACATACGCAGAAATGTGGCATCAGCAAGTACTGGAGTGGTTTATCATAGTGATGCTCAGAAACTTGTGTGATTTGTGGGAGTATTTTTTTTCTTCTCTTTCCATTACGGACACCCCATAAATCATCTGTCATAAGCGACAAGGGATACCCTGAATGAATCACCTTTCAGCCACAGTTTTGGGCGTCATTTCCCAAATCTCATTGTGGGGGAAGCTGATTTGATCTTTTCTTTTCAAAAACCCACAGCAGCTGATCTGCATACATGCCTATAATTGTGATTGTGTGGATATGTTTGGGTATACATGAGTATTTGTGGATTTGTTTGGGTATACATGTGTGTGCGCTCCGAATGCAATTGAACGTTACATTACTTACGGTTCTGTCTCAATGCTGTTCAGTTTTGCTACAAAATTCTGTGGTATGTATCCCTTCTGCCCGGTAAACAGAGACTCTGCCATGTACCATTCAGGATCATCGCTAAGAAACACACATATACACATACCAGAACAGTGTTTTAAACCACACAAAAATTTAAACAGGGTAACCCTGACTCTGATCTAAACCTACAAGTGACATTTAGTTCATTTCAACTTCTCAAAACCCAAAAGTCAACAATGTCTAGATAATCGGCACAGAGTGTCAGTCTGTTTTAACATAGGCTTTGCTTACGCATTTAGGATTTTCATCTTCTCCCCTTTCTCAAACCCAAGATCGTCACTGTGGCTTGGCTCATATTTGAATATGGCTACCACTATGTTTTCTGGAATACAAAGATGACAAGAGTGAGCTATCTGAAACACACATTAAAGAGAAAAAAATGTAGGACAGGTGTTTCACGTATCATCTCACCTGGAAGAGGAGATGATGGTGGAGGAGTGTACTGGGATGGATACGGAATCAGAGGATCAAAGTTCTGTGTGTGAGAGAGAAGAGAGCACAATGTAAAAAAAAGAAATAAAGAAATATATATATATTTTTTTTTTAATTACTAAAGGATAGCAGTTTTAGTTATTTGATTATGATTAGCAATTTCCCTAATGAGCTCTTTATGATATCAAAACCTCAATATCTGGATCATTTCATCAATGTCAATAATTTAACAATGTCATAAACCAAACAAAGCCACTTCCCTAAACAGGGTGGAGCTGTTCTTATTTTCTTCTCTCACAGCCTATGAAAGAACTACCACAGTAAAAGTAAACATTCCATCATTCTCATTATGCAATAACAACATGTGTTGTTCTCTTTAATTTCTAATCTACTTTAAAAAAAAAGACATCACGAGGAAATGAGCCTCAAATTTAGCTAGAAGTTTTAGTCTCCAATTGATAACCAACACAAAGGCACATTTCCCTCAAATTATGTAACCCTGAATGGGTTGACCCATCTAAACAATGAATCACATCATCGCAGACAGACCACAGTAGGAACAGATACAATTAATTAATCATTTTTTCTTGGAGGTGTTTTAGCCACAAAGAATGTGTATTCGAGTCTAATTTAATCAGAAAATTAAATGAAATAAGTAATTATCCACATTTTTTAACTACACTAAATTAAACATCAGGCAATTTCAGATTAAGACATATCGCCTGACAAATTGTGTGATTAGAACATATTAGTCTGTAAAAGATCTAAAAACTACCTGTGTTAAGAGGGGATAATACATTGCTTGAGTTAAAAGTAAAACAAAATGTGTTGCCCTAGACACAGATGTGTTAAAAAATAACACGGGTTGTGTTATTTTTATCACATCAGTTTTAAGAGTGTGGGGTCAGTGGTCAACCATATTTAACCATGTTTAGAAGATCTACTGAGATTGTCAGTCTGTTTTAACATAAGCCTTGCTTACGCATTTAGGATTTTCATCTTCTCCCCTTTTCAAACCAAAGGTCGTCGTAAATCAGTATCATAAATCATTTTCCAATTTTATTTGACTAAACTAAACTAAATTAAACATCTTGCCATTTCATATTGAAAGATCACCTGAAAACACACATTTTCCATTTCAGTTTCAGCTATAGGCATTTTTCAAAAAATGCTTTGTGTAGCACTTTGTAAGACATTGTTGTGTTTTGCCTTATGTTTTATACCACAGAAATTTGTAATGCATGTGTTTAGTGTAGAGAACGGCTCCACCACTTCCTTTCTCTCTCGTCTCCCTACATATTAGTTACTTCTGTCACTGTCTCACATTACAACCTGCCTGTTCTTAAGTCTCACAATTCCGAAACAATATATTAATAAAAAAAAATAAAAAAAACTGCAACATTTTCTAATGCTCAGTGTGTGAATTATTCAATGACTTCCATGGGGATTCCTAGGAATTTTTGTGGGGTGCAAAGATCTTGGTTCTTCAAGCCAAATATCTTGTAACGACACTAGCACAGCTAGCTAACCGTAAACGAGCTTAGTATAGAAAACAAACCACAGAATAGACCCTTCTCACATTTCCGAGTTTCTCAGAAGCGGAAATCACCGTTTTGTGTAAACTTCTATAGCGGTGAATGGGAGATGATGGCAAATATAATTTTTGTATTTGCATTCTAAAAGCAAAAGCAAAAATCTGCGATATCGCTTCCACGACTTTCCAAAGAAGGAAAACAATAGTAGGCTAGTGCGGTGAGAAGAGAGAAAGATGTCAAATTTTCCCTCACTCCCTCAACTGTTGTAAGCCTAGAAATGCCCTCGTTAATAAGTTTTATGTCATTTACTTCCAAAGTAATAAAACACAAAGTATAGCGTTATAAATGTGTGTTAAATTGTTTAAATATGAAAATAGTATAAACTTTACTAAATTTGCGATGTTGATAACTGTGGAAACGCATCAAAATTTTTGATATAGGCCTAGTGTTTTTGTGACGTGTAAATCTATAATATTGTGGAAAACAAGAAAAGCACAGTATGCTTTGTTGCTATAACTGCCGATACTTTTTCCCTTCCACTTTCAATCTTTTCGCAAGCGTCTGTTTAACCTAATTTATAATCTAACTTAGTGGTTATTTATATAATTGCATGTGAAAAAAAGAAAAGAAAAAAGAAGTATTAACTGTGCCATAAAATTCTCTTTAGCATACACAAACGTACCTGACTAGCTGGAGGCTTTGGACAGTTACATTGATCACACCATTCATCTGGATGGTAGGAGAATTCGTCATCAGGATCAAAAGAGCCGCAGTTCCCCATATTTACTAAAAATGAGAGAAAACAGAAGACGACAACTATCATAATTCTGACTGTAATATAGCCTAAATAAATTCATGGATTCGTAAGTGCAATAGGTGCATCGATCTAGCTTCTGGCAAACAAAAGCAGGGTAGTGGCTAAATAAAATGGATAATAAATAAAAAGGTTGTGACATTATTGTGTGAATTTTTTTATTTGTTGGCATGCTTTCTCTTTGAGTTTTATTACATTAAATAATGTGTAGGACTGCTCACTTTAAAACAAAGAGGGAGTTAATGGAGAGTGTATTTCCTGTTTTATCAGAAAAAAATAGAGCCAAAAACATTCAGTTTATATATTTTACCATTTTTTTGTGTCCGTGGGTTAAGCTGTCTATTAAAAAAAAATTAACGAAAAGTTCTGGACCAGATCTGTAAAGGAGGTTAATACTCTTAATGAATTCTAGACCCTTTTTCCAACTCACATAAGTTTGAGACAGTTTTCTTAGTGAACGATTTAGGTGTATTTTTCACTTGTCTTAAACATTGAACATTGCATTATGAATATAGAACATTCATTTAAACATCCCTGTACATAAGTGTTTGTATGTAAGAATGCAGCGTACTGTAGTTTATCCATATGTAAACACACAAGCCCAAAAGCATTTTCATTTCCATTAAACAGATAAATAATCAGAGTTCATGTGCTAACACAATGTGTATGTCTCTGTGGGCTTTGGACCCGTGAGAAACTTGTTGGGTCAGGAAAAGCTCAACCCTCTGGGTCAAAGTGAACACTGTGAACTCCTGGGACTGTTTGAGAGAACAGCCCAAATCAAAGCAGGATCTCTAAACAGAGACAAGACTTTCCACTGACCTCCGGCCTGTACCTGACCCGACCAGTATCAGTGCAAATGAGTCTCGAGAGATGCACAGCAAGGTCAAATGTTTTGGGTTCAGATTGCTTTATGAAGAACCAAGCATAGTTAATAGTTTGTATGACATAGGTGTTCCTAATCACTTAAAGGGATAATCATTGGGGTCCAATGTTGTTTTGACTTTATTATATGGAGAACAAACACTACGATATTTAAAAAAAAATTCAGGACAAAAAGTGTCATACGAACGACATGAGGGTGCTGATGACAAATGATTTTGTGTTCATTTAGGCCTCCAGATTCTCCTGTTACATAAGATGTGTTTTTATAGGTCTGAAATAAAATCAAAGATATCAAATGCCTCTGGAATCCCAATCACAAGTTTTTCATATATCACTGTGCACTGTCTCTGCATTATGCTGGAGAGGAAACAGAGGTCAAGAGAGACATGAGGGATACACTTCACTGATTCACACCAAACAGCCAAAAAATATTTTGGGATTTTGCCTTCTTTATTATACAGAGCTGTTGTTTTTTATGTTATTTTATTTTACCTCAATGTTTTAGCGGTTCTCCTGCACAAGAGAAAGGTGTACCATTTTATGACTGACACTTACCCTAATAAATAAATAAATAAATGATCTTAACATATACATCATGATAGTTTGATTTGGATTAGGAATAAGGCAATAATGTTATTTGTAAATGAAAATCATTTCCCCAGCATTTATGAAAATCCCATCCCCCCCCCCCCCCAGGCTTTTCTATTTCACTGTTTTAATATTATGTGAAAACTCAATCCAAAATCACCCCTAGTGATGGAATCAAAATTTAAATGTAAAATCATGCAGTTGTTCTTGACTGACCTTTAGGTCGGATACAAAAACAACACAACCAGTGATGACATACATTAAATTATCACTATAGCATATTTCCTTTGTGAATTACTTTGCAAATGAAATAACAAATTTAACGAATTTTAATCGCGAAGCAGCCGACAGCGCAAACGTGTTCTAGAAATTTCGATTTGAACTGTGCAGAGATATTATTTCAATCCGAACACACTCACATCTACTTTTCTACTTCAGAATAGTAATATTTTATACCTGGATTTAAACTTTACATTATTAATTCACTGAGTGTTCTGTTCCATTTTTTTTGAGAAAATAAAATATCAAACATAGGCCTAATAGCAAATATTATGAGCTCAGCTTAAAACTCTTTTTGATTTCTTTTCTTTTTTTCTTATATTTTAAGCCTTATAAAATTATTTTTTTAAGTATAATCTGCCCCATCTATCTCAGTTTGTCTCAGGCTTTAGTTTTACCTTGTAAAGTCTCATCCAATAAATCATTCATTTATTTAAAGTAGCCACTGCCTGCAAGTACCGGTTTGATAACCTGTACTCGTTCAAATTAATCTGGGCCTCGATTTAAGTGAGGAAAAAGTAGCAACCCGCTTGTAAAACTCACCTTTTCTGTTGAAAGATGCTGATATCAGTGATGGGCCAGTTCAGCAGGCATTCCCATGTCGTTAGCTTTATATTTTATGAAGAACACATTTTTCCACAGAGCATCTAAACCAAGATTACGAACAAAACAAAGAGGTCTGTAAAACTTCGGCGTGTTTCGATGACATGTGCTGCTAAAGTGTCAAGTTGTGTAAGTCACGTCAGAGTTTGACTTCCCACCTTAACAAAGGCACATCATTTGTGAAAGCATCACTCTCTCACACACACACGCACACACACACCACAGTGGTGCAGACTCAGAGCAAGCTGATGATAGAGCTTCCTGTCGTTGAGGTGTTTGAGCTGATATTTAACATTTTTTTCAGCAGGTGCACACTACTCTGAGCAGCTGGTGTCATTGGAGTGAAGGTTTATGGGTCAGGACTCCACTTGTCACCTGGTTTTGTCGCGCCATTATGTCAAAGAGTGGAAACATTAACGGCACTCATGGGTTTTTGGCTTGTAGGCCTACTTGTACGGAATAGAGCCACAAAACGTAACATTTGAATATTCATGCTTAAAAGGGTTACATTGCTATTCTATGCAGCATTTGTCCCCATTCGTAAACACACACACAAAAATCAAGCCTCTGATTCACTTTGAAACAAACATTGCTCTGTTACAGAGTTGGCCTAATATGCTATTTGCAACATGTATATGCAATAAAGTTAAACTAATATGCAAATGCAAAATTTTGAGGTAAAGTCAATTTTTTTTTCAATCAGCTTCTTGGAGATGATGCTAACCCATCTCATGCCTCTCTTCAGATCTGTCTCTTAAACCCGTTTAAACCCGTCTCTCTCTCTCTGTTTCTCGCTCTCTCCAAGCAGACCGCACACTTTTGTTGTGGCATCAGTCTGCAGATAGAGCATGCATTTGCAGGAAGTCGCAGCCCAAACATTCAAAGGAAATGAGGTACATTCTCTTCTACTTTTCTACTGCAGGAACACTCATCTTAATTTAGACATGACGCCCAAGCCTCCTCTGTCATTTCTATTTATTTTTATTTATGTCATTCAACATGACTGAAACGTTTGACCAGGTTCTTCATGTGGTGAGTGCACTGATCACAGCAAAAATACGAGTTTCATTGTGGTTGGGGGGTGTGGGTGGGTTGTGGATGGGGATGTTATACAGTGAATATTAATTATATGTTGGCCTATTACTCAATGAGAATCCCTCAAAAGATGAACCACATATGGGGTCAGTTTTGCAACAAGTACGTCAAATCCTGGATTTCTTGTTTAGTTTTTGGTTCTCAATTTGAGTAAAAGACTGAAACAATTGTTTTTCCATTCTTTGGGGGTCTTGTGGTTGAGAAGAGGGGGGTTTGAAGGAGGGGGGATGTTGAGTGGGGGGTTAAGATCATCTTAACAGACAGTTACATATTCACAGTTACATTTCTTGTGAGAGCAAATGTTCATTTGATGTTTTGAGATTGTGAATCCATAGCAAAACTTTTCAAACTGGGGTATTGGGACCACATGGGGGGTTCTGGGAGATCTGTGGAAAATTTAAGAGATTAAAAATATTTGATGTGTTTTAACACAAAAACTAAACTAAGCAAATAGTTATGTGATAGATGTTAATTTCTCCTGCAACAGGATTCCTTGCAATTCATGATTTTATTTGTGTCTTTTTCTAGGGAGATTTTCTTCTTCCATTGTTGTCTTTAACTTGCGCACTAATTGTACAGTAATTTCTGTAAAGCTGCTTTTGGAAAATCTGAAATACATTTTTTATCATTATTATAATAATTGTGACAAATTGTAAGTAATATACACCCACCTAAAGGATTATTAGGAACACCATACTAATACTGTGTTTGACCCCCTTTCGCCTTCAGAACTGCCTTAATTCTACGTGGCATTGATTCAACAAGGCGCGGAAAGCATTCTTTAGAAATGTTGGCCCATATTGATTGGATAGCATCTTGCAGTTGATGGAGATTTGTGGGATGCACATCCAGGGCACGAAGCTCCCGTTCCACCACATCCCAAAGATGCTCTATTGGGTTGAGATCTGGTGACTGTGGGGGCCATTTTAGTACAGTGAACTCATTGTCATGTTCAAGAAACCAATTTGAAATGATTTGAGCTTTGTGACATGGTGCATTATCCTGCTGGAAGTAGCCATCAGAGGATGAGTACATGGTGGCCATAAAGGGATGGACATGGTCAGAAACAATGCTCAGGTAGGCCGTGGCATTTAAACAATGCCAACTAAAGTGTGCCAAGAAATCATCCCCCACACCATTAGACCACCACCACCAGCCTGCACAGTGGTAACAAGGCATGATGGATCCATGTTCTCATTCTGTTTACGCCAAATTCTGACTCTACCATCTGAATGTCTCAACAGAAATCGAGACTCAACAGACCAGGCAACATTTTTCCAGTCTTCAACTGTCCAATTTTGGTGAGCTCTTGCAAATTGTAGCCTCTTTTTCCTATTTGTAGTGGAGATGAGTGGTACCCGGTGGGGTCTTCTGCTGTTGTAGCCCATCCGCCTCAAGGTTGTGCGTGTTGTGGCTTCACAAATGCTTTGCTGCATACCTCGGTTGTAACGAGTGGTTATTTCAGTCAAAGTTGCTCTTCTATCAGCTTGAATCAGTCGGCCCATTCTCCTCTGACCTCTAGCATCAACAAGGCATTTTCGCCCACAGGACTGCCGCATACTGGATGTTTTTCCCTTTTCACACCATTCTTTGTAAACCCTAGAAATGGTTGTGCGTGAAAATCCCAGTAACTGAGCAGATTGTGAAATACTCAGACCGGCCCGTCTGGCACCAACAACCATGCCACGCTCAAAATTGCTTAAATCACCTTTCTTTCCCATTCTGACATTCAGTTTGGAGTTCAGGAGATTGTCTTGACCAGGACCACACCCCTAAATGCATTGAAGCAACTGCCATGTGATTGGTTGATTAGATAATTGCATTAATGAGAAATTGAACAGGTGTTCCTAATAATCCTTTAGGTGAGTGTATATTACTATACATATTGCTTTGTAAAAAAAAAACAGTGCTATGCAAATAAATATATGCATATAAATTTGAATATTTTTCATTTATATTCTAATACTGGGTTGAAAACATATTGCATGTAAATACTTAAAAATATCAAGTAAATAAGTTTCTTCAGATAAAATTTAAATCGTTTATTTTTGGCTTTGTTAGAAAAGGGCATATCATCATATCATCATATTTGGCAGTCCTTGGCCTTAAAACTTTTAAAAAAATTGTTATAGCAGGATTTTGCAGGCAATGCTTTATGAATATCAACCAATTTTTTTTGGAAGGAAATTATTAATTCTATTTGCAGATAGTCTATATATGTAACAATGCAACATTTTTAATTCATGTCAAATAAAAATAAGTTCAGGTAGGTTATCATGATGGTTTTAAACTCTACAAAGCATAATGGCACTTTCATGGTATAGTGTTTGTTTTCTATTCTAGGTCTCGAGGGAATCTGTATGTGGAACACAACTAACCACTTTTTGTGTCTTCTCAGGTGACAAAAATAGTTCATGTTTCTGTTCAAAGGAGTAATCCTCATGTGAGATGTTCAATGAATGTACTTGCCCTAATGCCTTATGAGATATAAACTACAAAAACTTGTAATATCAGTGTTGAGAACAGCTTTAGGGAAAAAAGCAGATTCTCTCTCTCTCTCCCTCTCTCTCCATGTATTTATCTAGCATGAGATCATTTCTTGGCAGTCACATGGCTCCTTCTGACAGCCAGTCCTGTCTCTGCAGTTACAATCGATGAAGCAATTGGTCCATTGTTATAAATATAAATTCAGGCTTTTCTGAGAAATACCATCTATTTTCATTCCTGTAACAACACTGCATAAAAATGTGCAAGACGGAAGAGGCAAAGCAAGATAAGGACTGCACGAAACTGTTTGGATAATTACACAAATTGATAAATCAACACAATACTGTGAATAAATTTTGAAGATTTTAAATGCATGTATTTACAAATATACATTTATTTACAAATTTAAAGCAACAACAATGTTCAAAAGATTTATAAATTTTCATTATAGTGAATGAGTTACAGTGAAGGATATTTTTCTCAATAAGGATGGATGGATGATATCACAATATCTCTTCAAATTAATTTTAAGACATCTTTATTCATTTCAGGCAACTTTTGAAGCATTTTTTAGTTTGTACATCAAACATTTGATTAATCAAAAAACATACATTACTGTTTAAAAGTTTGGGGTCTGTAAAAAAATGTTTTGTTTTCGAATGAAGTCTCGTATTCTCACCAACACAAATGCTTGGGTCACAAATGGTTTGGTCAAATAAAAAAATGTAATTACAATTTTAAACCCAATGGTTGGGTTTGTCCATATTTGACCCAAACATGGGTTGAAACAACCCATAATGTTTAGAGTGAAGGCTGCATTTCTTTGATCAAAAATACAGAAAATATAGTAAATATATAAAACTGAAATATAATTACAATGTAAAAGCCCTTTATTTCACTTTTGATCAATTTAATGCATCTTTGCTGAATAGAAAGTATTCATTTCATATTTAATATATTTTTAAAAATTGTTAACGCACATTCAGTCCCAAGATGAAATTTGTAAAAAAATATAAAGGTCCTCTGATTTGTTTTGATTTTATCATGAAGCTTTTAGCACTTACAGTATTATGCACAAAATTAGTGCTATATTTCCAGTGCTTGTAATAAAGTAAACTGAACTTTAATGGGTTCTGTGGAAGTACAAAGAACACAAAACTCATTTAAATCTAGTAATCTTACTGTGTAAATGAAAGTTTCCCAAGCACAACATTCTCAAACTTTAAGCAAAAAACTGATGTTGACCAACCACCGAAAGTGGGCTGAGCTTTTTACTTGCTGCAGCTCTGAGCCTTAGAGTGTGTGTTATTTTTAGGTTTTAATAGACAAGGTGACAAAATGCCTGAACACAAACTCACACTTCCTGTGAGGCTGTAGCTCGGGATCACAGCCAAGCCGACGGGAGAGTGTTTTGTCCCCTGAGCAGTCAGGAACACTGATGGGAGTGTGTGCCAATCACACGCCTTTTGACACAGAAGCAGGTTCCTCCTGATTCTTAGATTAGTTCAGATATAGTCAAATGTAACTATAAACTCTTTCCCAACTCTGAGGACTTTCTCAGACGTGTGGTGAGTCCCCTTTCACAAGTGGTTTAATAGTTGTAGTGCTGGTTACTGCATTTCCAGATATGACCACCAGTAGTCTAGTTTTAAAAAGTTCAATAAAGCTAAGTGATTTGAAGAAAAAGGACGTTTTTAGTATTATTATAGTCCAAATTTAATGACATAAAACTTTGGCTTCCAGTGTCAGTAATACATTAAAAGTTCTGCATTGAGTTTTCTTGAGGGCGTCTCTCATCGCCCAGCCTCTCAACAGAGTGAGAATCGTCTGGAGTTGAGGTTCATTTTGGTAAGACCAATATGTTTGAGAGTTGTGGAAAGAGTGAAGGCGGCTTTCATGGGGATGTCACACAGCAGATCTGAGTCCTCCTCGCACTCCTCCAGCTCATACGTGGCGTCATCCAACATCTCTTTGTGACGGTGGCACACCTGTTCCACCTTCAGCCTGTGGATCTCCACCCGTAAGCGAATCAACTGCCGTGCAAGACGGTTATCCTGCATCTGCATCTCCCTCTGAGAAAAAAATGTGTGTGTGAGAGAGAGAGAGAGAGAGAGAGAGAGAGAGAGAGAGAGAGAGAGAGGAGAGAGAGAGAGAGAGAGAGAGAGAGAGAGAGAGAGAGAGAGAGAGAGAGAGAGAGAGAGAGAGAGAGAGAGAGAGAGAGAGAATGATTTTATAGCTTACACATCGCGGTGGACTATACAGCTAAAACCAGATATTTGCTAACCCGCAGTATATAAGATTCAATTATTCGGAACAGCAATCACACATGCAGGGAATTGTGTACACCTTTCTGTTGAACACCCACTCAAGTTTCTGCAACAGTGTGCATTTCATTGTAATATGCCAAGAGACAAGAGTCATGTCACCTGCCGAATATTTCAATATCAGTTGACATGTATTCACAGTGGTCTGTCTGGCTTATTAGCCAAATCAAATTGCCTGCTTAACTGTTATAATATGTATTAGGCCTACATATACTTATTTAACATAAGTAATTTGGTATTTGCATACACTACTGTTAAAATGTTTCGGGTCGATACAATTATAATTATTTTTTTTTAAAGATGCTCAACAAGTCTGCATTTATTTGATCAAAAACATAGTTAAAAAACAGTAATATTCTGAAATAATATTATTTCAACTTAAAAGAACTGTTTTCTATTTGAATATATTTTGAAAAACTAATTTTCCTCCTATGATATCAAAGCTGAATTTTCAGCTGGCACTACTCCAGCGTTACATGTGCCCTAATGTGGACCACGTGATTACAGCATTTGTTTAAAATAGAAATATTCTACAACATTATAAACTACTGTCCCTTTTGATTATATTAATGCGTACTTGCTGAATTTGAATGGTATTGTTTCTTGAATGTTTAAGAAGAACTTGAAAAAATGTTTTGAGTACCTAAAATGACCTAAAGACATGTAGAAATTTTAAAAATCCCAAAACCACTGTTGGTGTATGTGGATAGATAGATAGATAGATAGATAGATAGATAGATAGATAGATAGATAGATAGATAGATAGATAGATAGATAGATAGATAGATAGATAGATAGATAGATAGATAGATAGATAGATAGATAGATAGATAGATAGATAGATAGATAGATAGATAGATAGATAGATGGATGGATGGATAGATCAAATAAAGCTTATGAAATATTAATACAATACCAGTTCGTTTCTGAGCCACTGTAACGCGTCGTCTATAGTATCAAAGCCGCATATATTCTTAAAAGGCATTCCATCTTTCCAGATGTCGGATGGCTGGGTGTCCTCCTCCACAGATCCTGGGCTACTGACATTTGAACTCTGTGTAGCATCAATCCACGGGTGAGCCTGCAGCCGCTCCTTCCATTCTAAGTACGACGGTCTGCGCGTTTGGAGTTTGAGTTTCTCTGTCAGGGCTTTCACACTATCCAGATCGTCCATATCTCCCTCAGAGCTCTCGTCTGCTCCCAGCTCTCTGAACTCCATCACTGAACTGCTTTCATTCCAACTGGGCGAGACTGTGACTTGTGACTGTTCAGACATGTGTACCACTGTGCCTGATCATGTGCACGAGTGATTAATCTCAAGAGGTGTGCTGAGCTCATGTTTATATAGACAGAAAAGTGACCGCCCATGTTCTGCAGCCTAATGTCATGATCAGTGTTTAATCGGAGAACTTTAGACAGTCTGAACTTGTAGGCTATGTTGCGGCCGGGCGCAACATTTCGTGTTCCCATGTGAAACTATTCAAGTGGCACATAACATGGGTCACTGGCTCCCTTAAAACCTTCAGTATAACAGCTTCTCCCACGTCACACACCTCACAAATAAATCACATAGGCTAAAGTGAAAAAAAGTGTTAGGTTCCGACAGACAGTTTTCATCAAACAATGGTTTCACAAAGGCAACTAAGAAATGACAGTAAATATTTAACTGATGTATCTTGTGGCCCAAAGCTCGCTCACACTTTTTATATCAACAAGTCATCGCGACTGCACCAAGCTTGAGTCTTGTTTTATAACAGAATGTCTCCATCTTCTGCTAATGTTGATGAATTGCAGCGAGAATCTATTTAGCTAAGAATTACAATGAATCTAGCGTCAGAATCCGTCAGATATAATTTATTATTCTAAAACGAACGGTAGGCCTGTTAGTGGGCCGGGCCCCCGGCCGGGACCCCCAGAGAGGCGCAAAGGGTTACTAGGGAGTCCTCGAAAATGTTCAGAGAAAAATATTTTTTTAATTACAATTAATATTTAATATTATTAACAACAGCAATAATAAAGTTTGATAATCAAATTATCACACATTATTTAATTATAGGCTATTGAAAGATAAAAAGCAAAAAAAAAAGAAGAAAAGAAACAACACAGAAAGTAAAAATTTTCTAGATATATTTTTTCACAGTATAAATTTATCTTTATACACGAACATCCTACCTGTAGGCCTATAGAGAGGATCCATCGCCAGACTTACATCAATACATGTAAAACAAATGTTTAAATGACTCTTAAAAAGTAAAAACAGGTTCAATCCAGACCAAAAAAAAAGAGAGAAAGATTCCACGTTTTATCTGAATTAAGTTATTTTAGATGTCAAGTGAAGTCACCTTTATTTAGGCTATATAGGGCTTTTTACAATACAGATTGTTTCAAAGCAGCTTTACAGTGATAACAGCAAAATAATGCAAAGAAGTTTCTCTAAACCATACTTCATTTAAAAAAATACTTACTTTACACGTACTGACTATATGCTATATTAGTCCAACAAAAAACGTTGCAAAATAAGTGACAAAAATGAAGTGAAGTGTAAATGAAATGAAGTGTCATTTCCAGTCAAGATGCACAGTCACTAATGTTGACTTGAAATGACAATTCATTCAGCATTTTTGTCACTTATTTTTGAGGGGAAAAAAATTGTTGTTGTTGCTGTATTCATGTCTTTCTTAGTTAATTGGCTGTAGCTCCCCCTTGTCAATTTGTCCTGCTCCTACCACCACCATCATCATCATCACCACCATCAGCATCAGCATGGTCCAGACAACCCTCTCAAGGATCTTAATTGTAAGATCAGTAAAAACTGTACCAAATTACTTCATGGGGGGGGGGGGGGGGGGGGGGACAGCCACAACAACAATAAACAGAAACATCACAAAAAGAGAAGAGGGCTGGGACTTCAAGAACGGAAACGAAAGCAGAGAAGCAAACAAAACTCTTATGAATCGCGCGAGCATGCACACCTCTCGCCGCCCGCGCACTTTCGATTAGTGGCATTTTATATTTGCCAGATGCCGGTAAGTTTTATAACAGCCTACATTAACATCAAGAGGTGGGACACAGTTTTGTAAAGGATTGCCATTAAACATTTGCGGAAAACTGAGACCCGGAGTAGTGGCTCGCCCACCAGCTCTCTAAACTCGAGAAGTACCAGATGGTGGTTGTTGTCATTGTGAAATGGAGTTGTCTGAGCACATTAAGACGGCTAATGTTGAAGATGTTACCCTGAGAAGACCTTTCCATCCAGCGCTCAGAGGAACCCTGTGCGTAACCAGCCACCACCTTCTGTTCTCAGACAGAAAGGATGAAGATTCCTGGCAACTTCTCATTCTCCTCAGAAACATCGATGCCACTGAGAAAAGGTAGACTTGGGGGTGGGGACCTCATCATAATCCAGCCTAAATTGGGTTGCTGGTATTTCAATTTCGTTTTATTGGTGTAACCAAATATATTTAAGTTGATTCAGTTATGTTAAGTATAGGTATAGCCTAATATTTTGACTTTATTTATTGTTTAATGTTACCATATTAAGCACATTTATTTCACCAGGAATTTTTTTTCATGTAGTCCTATGTAGCCTAAATTAACAATACACCTGTCCTTTGTAAATGCATAATTCATATTCTCATTATTACGTGCAAATATACTCTTTTAATCGCATTTGGGTCATGATTAGGTTATACAATTGTGTGTTTGATCCCTTAAGTGACCTGCTTCTGTAATATTAAACTCTAATTCTCTCTTTCTCTAATATAACCCATCACTTTTCCTGCGTGTCAGTGTCGAGAATCTTTTCGGATACCCCAGGTACACTTCTAAAGCAGGCCCAATGTTTGATTTGTGGACTGTCATTGCTCATTGAAGCTGTTGTTTTATTCTGATCTGGGATCTGCTATTAATGTAATACAGTGATGTTAAAAATGAGGAGAGTAGTGGCAGTGGGCAGCATCTCGTTTCAGCATAAGAAGGCAACTTCTAAAATGAGCTGCGCTGGCAATGTGTTCTTAGCTTATGGCAGGGAGGAGAACAGAATAAGCATTTTGCAAGATCTTTTGTGCTTCGCAGCGAGCATTTACGCAAAAGATCATATCACTCTGACATGCTTTTTGTGTTTTGAATACAAAGGATCTATTTGTGCAATATATATTTATGTTTGTAATCTAATGTCCAAATACGGAGAGGAACTAGCTTACAGTCTATTAAAGTTCTATTTAGAGCTCAGTCATACCTCTCTATTTATCTCAGTGTCTCTCTGCTAGCCTTACGCACATGGCTTGTTTTTGCTTCCTGCTTCTGTCTCTTCTGAGGCCCCAATGGGGATGATTGAATGGAATTTGAGAATGTGTATGTTCTTAAAAATGTGTGTGGGGTGTGTGTACGTGTCTAATACAGGGCTGTGGGATCCTCTGGTACTATCACCATTAAATGTAAGGACCTGCTTGTTCTTCAGTTGGAAATTCCTGGAATGGAGGAATGTCTGAACATAGCCAGTTCTATAGAGGTACTAATATTGTTCTCACTACTCGCGCCTGTGACAGGGATTATAAATAAAAAAATAAATGCTCATTTTTAGTAATAGGTACTCTACTGTTCAAAAGTTTGGTGTCTGTTTTGTAAAGATTTTTTAAAGTATTTAAAAGAAGTCTCTTATGTTTACCAATGCTGCATTTATTTGATTAAAAAAAATTCGTACTGACCCAAAACTTTTGAATGTACATTCGAACAAACCCCCTAACCCTCCCTAAGAATTAAATGCGCAACTTGTCCCCAACCATTTGTGCTACGGACATAAATTAAACCTCAAATCAAGCAGTTTGTTGAAGAGAGGTGTCTGACTTGGAATTCAACTTTGCGAACAGCAATACATTATCAATACAATTAGGGTTGCACCTATAGCCTATTCAATTTATGCCTTTCATGTTATGGCTGATAAGTGTTGCCCAATATTACAATTTTGTACGATTTTGTCTAAATAATACTAAAAAGTAAATTTAGGCATCATAACATAATGTGCAGTATGAAAAATAAAATGAAGATTCATTCTGAGATTTGCTAAAGCGTACATTTAGCAGTTACAATATTATTAGTGTTTTTAATGATTCACTTTGAATAAGTATTAGAAGATGGCAAAGGATTTACCCAAATGTACAAATTGGGGAAATTACCATGCACAATTAAATATCCAATATTGGCAGATACCGATAAATTAAAAATGAATATATTGAGAAAATCTTTAATATCTTTTCCTCTCGTCAGTAAAGCATCCTGGAAAATCCTAAATACTATGGGTCATTGCAAGTTGTCATTCAAGATGACATCTCTTAAAAGATTACTTTTAAAGATGACTTAAGAGGACATATGAAAGATGACAAGCATATATTCTGAAAGAAGAAGCCAATCTTCACTCTAGACACTGGCAGTAAAATAAATGTTGAGACCAGCACTTCCTCATCTTTATTGAGAGTTGACTCTGATATTGTCTCATGTCTCTGTAGGCTCTCTCGGCTCTGGAAAGTGTGACAGAGATGTATCCCTTTTTCTATAGACCGTCACACCATACTCTGCATGGCCCGTGGGGCCTGTCCTCAACAGAGAAATATTACAAACAAACAGAAAGACTGGTGAGCTGTATTCTTTCACTTTCACTTCAGACCAGATAATGCCATTCTGTAATTCTCTCACTTTGAGAAACACACAAGAAAATAAACACAACCAAATGATGCTCAAAATCATTATTTAATGTAAGCCATTGCTTAGTTTCCTGAAAGGAAGTCAAACAGGAAGCACTTTGTTTGCCACAGGAAGCTAAAAGCAGTTGTGAGGCATGTGGACACTTACATTTACAGGAAACAGTGTGTATGCTTTCTCTGTAGTTAATAGTTTTTAACCTATATGCATATTTTTTTATTTTCTATTCCTTGTTTGTTTCAATAGCTTTCATTATCACCCATTGTAATCTCACAGCTGTTTCACGGGCCTTCATTTCTTTCCATAGCTGTAGATGTTTATCTCTCGCCTCCTTTTGGCATGACCTCACATTTCTATCATAATTACTGTGTTTTTTACTTGTCACTCAGTTTTATATGCTGTATCTAGCTTATATAAAAATTGCTTATTTATAAGAATATATTTATAACTATTTATAACTAATATGTTTAAATACACTCACCGGCCACTTTATTAGGTACACCTGTCCAACTGCTCGTTAACACTTAATTTCTAAGCAGCCAATCACATGGCGGCAACTCAGTGCATTTAGGCATGTAGACATGGTCAAGACAATCTCCTGCAGTTCAAACCGAGCATCAGTATGGGGAAGAAAGGTGATTTGAGTGACTTTGAACGTGGCATGATTGTTGGTGCCAGAAGGGCTGGTCTGAGTATTTCAGAAACTGCTAATCTACTGGGATTTTCACGCACAACCATCTCTAGGGTTTACAGAGAATGGTCCGAAAAAGAAAAAACATCCAGTGAGCGGCAGTTCTGTGGGCGGAAATGCCTTGTTGATGCCAGAGGTCAGAGGAGAATGGCCAGACTGGTTCGAGCTGATAAAAGGGCAACAGTGACTGAAATAACCACTCGTTACAACCGAGGTATGCAGCAAAGCATTTGTGAAGCCACAACACGCACAACCTTGAGGCGGATGGGCTACAACAGCAGAAGACTCCACCGGGTACCACTCATCTCCACTACAAATAGGAAAAAGAGGCTACAATTTGCAAGAGCTCACCAAAATTGAACAGTTGAAGACTGGAAAAATGTTGCCTGGTCTGATGAGTCTCGATTTCTGTTGAGACATTCAGATGTTAGAGTCAGAATTTGGCGTAAACAGAATGAGAACATGGAACCATCATGCCTTGTTACCACTGTGCAGGCTGGTGGTGGTGGTGTAATGGTGTGGGGGATGTTTTCCTGGCACACTTTAGGCCCCTTAGTGCCAATTGGGCATCGTTTAAATGCCACGGCCTACCTGAGCATTGTTTCTGACCATGTCCATCCCTTTATGGCCACCATGTACCCATCCTCTGATGGCTACTTCCACCATGTCACAAAGCTCTAATTATTTCAAATTGGTTTCTTGAACATGACAATGAGTTCTGTAACTACTCGCTGGTTACAAAACAGTCCACGCTTCCGAAATACTGATGTCCATTTTTATTTGTTCCAGAGACACCGTGAAAACTAGACAAAAATAAACCAAACCATAATTTTACACACAACACCACTACAAACACAAACCAACATAGTATACAAAATATTAAAACCTTTACCGTATTCGCCTGGTAACCAACAGTAGATTAAGTCAGGAGCACTAACATGGGTATCTGAGTTTCACATCTCATCATTACATTGACGCTGACACGTCCAGGTGAAATAATCAGCACAGGGTCACATGACACTCAACTTAAACAACAGAATAATAATAATGAAATACAAACGGTAACCAAATTATGAAATTATCACAATACAGAAATACACATTTAAACTATGAAGTCCAAATAAACTATAAAGTCAAAATAAACATTAACCGCTGAAATCACCGAAATATCATAACCCACAGCTGACCTTCCAGCGTCAGCTACACTCCCACCAAATTACCATTGAGTAAAAAAATAAAATAAAATAAAAAAGACAAAACAAAAACAAAAACACTTACAAATACAACCAATCAAATAATCAATGGTAATTTCCAGGCTCCAACAAGAAACATGAAAATCAACAATTCAAAAAAAACAAGGAAAACACACAATTTTTTCCATATTTCATAATTACACAATCTTCTGCTAAAATGAACAAATTGTTCACCATACTTTACATTCTACTATTAACCAACATTAAGCAGCACAAATCAACATATCCAAGGTCACAGCATGGTACTAATATGATTCAACTTCTAATGAGTGATAAGATATTAATTTTCACCTTTTGCTACAAGAACTACCAATTTTTGGATAGGTCGTTCAATAACCGAGGGTTTAGTGAGGCGTTCACCCCTTTTCCCCAACTTCCGATCCCCAATCCGTATTGTAACTTTCCGTACCAGTCCATCATCAGCCTTGCAAACTTCAATGACCCTAGCCAACCTCCATTCGTTGCGGGGAATTTCCTCTTCCTTGACAATGACAATGTCCCCCACTTGCACATTCCGCCTTGGTGTATGCCATCTTTGCCTTAGAGAGATATTAGCAAGATATTCTATCCTCCATCTACTCCAAAACTGTTCACTCAAATACTGCACCTGCCTCCAACGTTTCTTTGCATAAAGATCTTCCTTAATAAACGCCCCCGGAGGAGGAAGTGGAACCGACGACTTCATGGTAAGCAGGTGGTTGGGGGTTAGAGGCTCTGGGCTTGTAGGATCACTGAGACCATCCACTGTCAATGGCCGGTTATTGACTATAAACATAGCTTCATAGAAGAACGTACGTAAAGAGGCATCATTAAGTCTTCCAGTACTTAGTGCCAAAACTGAACTCATCACACCCTTTATGGTTCGAATCTGCCGTTCCCAAACACCTCCAGCGTGACTCGAACTGGGTGCATTCAGACAGAAATCGCACTGCTTCTCTGCCAGATATGCTGCCACTCTCTCTTTACTCACTTCTCTTAAGGCTTTCTTCAACTCATTCCTTGCCCCCATGAAGTTTGTTCCTTGGTCTGATCTAATATGTCTGACAGCTCCCCGGATGGCTAAAAAACACCGTAAAGCATTGATGAATGTATCAGTCGTCATGTCCTCCAACATCTCTACGTGGACGGCTCTGGAGCAAAGACAAGTAAAAAGGAGGCCATAACGTTTATACGTTTTACGACCTTGCTTGGTGTAAAAAGGACCAAAACAGTCCATGCCACAATAGGTAAATGGCGGGGAGGGATCAGTTCGGTCACTGGGCAAGTCCGCCATCCGTTGTTGTTCTGGCGGCCTACGTGCTCTCCTACAAGGAACACACTGCCGTATGTAGTGTGCTACCACCTTACTGCCACCCATGATCCAAAAGCCATTGGCTCGCAATTCATTCAGAGTCTGTCCCCTGCCTTGATGTTGAATTTTTTGATGATGGTGTGCCAATATAAGGTGTGTAACCAGACCACTACTTGGAAGGATTGCTGGGTATCGCAATTCAGGAGGAGCACATGCTCTCCTCAAACGTCCTCCCACCCTCATTATTCCATCCTGCATGAATGGATCCAGCTGATACAGAGGGTGGTTTGAAGGCAGCCTACCAGAGTCCTGACTGAGTACATTCAACTCTTCTTTGAAGGCATCCTGTTGTGCGAGCTGAATGAGAGTAAATGAGGCCCTCCTCCTTTCCTCCACATTTAAAGATGTTGGTGTCTTCATCTTCTTTGCTAATCTTTGGATCCGGGCAATGACATTCACAGCTGTAGTCCATTTTGATAGTCGTGATAGTCGCTGTTGAAAATCCACTTGCGTCATGATCTCGGTCCTCAATACCTGGACAGCCTTGACCTCCGGGTCTCCCACCGACAGCTCCAACGTTCCTTGGTTAGCAAATACCTCTTTCTCCCAGAGGAATCTGGGCCCTGTAAACCAGTTTGAACTGATCAACTCCTCTACAGTGAGGCCCCTCGAGGCATGGTCAGCAGGATTTTCTTCTGTATTGATGTAATACCACTGTCTTGGATCGGTGGCCTCCCGAATTCTCTGGACCCGGTTAGCAACAAAGACATTAAATCTTCTTGCTTCATTGTTAATATAACCAAGGACCACTTGAGAATCTGTCCAAAAATATTCTCTATCGACTCTGAGTGCCAACTCCTCTTTCAGCATACTACTCACAGCAGCAGAGATGACAGCTGCAGTTAACTCTAATCTTGGTATAGTAACAACCTTTATGGGAGCAACTCTTGCTTTACCCATAACTAAGGCACAATGTATCTTACTTCCACTCATCAATCTGATATAAGAGCACTGTCCATAGCCTTGACTGCTAGCATCAGAAAAGTGATGCAATTCAATGCTCAGAATAGGTCCAAAGTTTGGAGGGGTGAAGCATCTTGGAATTTGTACCTTTCCTAGGTTGGGCAGATCATTCAGCCAACTCTCCCACCTTGGTCTCAGCTCAGAGGGTAACGGTTCATCCCAACTGATGCCCTTATGGCACATCTCCTGCAAGACCTTCTTACCAGATATGACGAATGGGGCCAAAAACCCCAATGGGTCGTAGACTGAAGCCACCATGGACAGAATTCCACGTCGTGTCGCTGGTTTCTCTTCAAGAACAACATTAAAGGTGAGTGCATCATTCTCCACATCCCACCTTACGCCCAAGACATTTTGTACTGGAAGAAAGTCATGATGGAAATCAACGTTCTTTACTTCAGCAGCATGATCACACGGACTGATTGACTCCAACACTTCTCGATTGTTGGAAATAAACTTATGAAGATGCAGCTTTCCTTTAGCACACACGGCTTGCGCTTCCTTCACCAACTTGATTGCTACCTCAACAGATTCCAGGCTTACGAGGCCGTCGTCCACATAAAAATGGTTCCTGATAAACCCAGCTGCCAAAGGATACTCACTCTCATTCATACTGGCAAGATACTTCAGGCCATAATTGGCGCAGCCTGGAGAAGATGATGCTCCAAAAAGGTGTACTTTCATGCGATATTCTCTGGGTTCTGTGTCGGTATCTCCATTTGCCCACCACAGAAAACGCAGATAGTCCCGATCTTCCCTAATAACATGAAATCTATGAAACATTTTCTCAATGTCGCACATGACAGCGATAGGGTGTTTACGGAAACGGCAAAGCACTCCAGTCAATCCATTGGTAAGGTCAGGCCCAGTCAATAGATGGTCATTTAAGGCGGTACCTTCATACCTAGCTGCGCAGTCAAAGACTATCCTGATCTTATTTGGTTTCCTATGGTGATAGACGCCTTGATGGGGAATATACCACACATTACCCGGGTCTGGTTGCTCATTTGCCATTTCCGCATCTCCATCTCTGAAGACATCTTCCATGAACGTCATGTAGTCCTGTCTGAATTGAGGATTCTTGTCCAATTTCCTCTTAAGGTGCTTCAACCGTCCTAATGCAAGCCTCCTATTATTTGGAAGCTGAGGCCGTATCTTAAAGGGAAGGGGCATCTCAAGATGGCCATATTCATTTTGATAGACACCCTCTTTTACTACCTGCAGGAACTGAATATCATCTTGTGATTTACTCTTTTCACCGGATGGAATGTCTACAAAATCCAGCTCAAGTGCTCTAATAACAGCGGCAGGCGTCACGGAGGGGAGCTCTCTGACTGATATGCGGTGGCAGAAACCAGTCCCAAACTCGGAGTTTACACATCGTGGAGTTCCTCCTATGATGCTCCAGCCAAGGTCCGTCTTGATGGCATAAGGCTCTTTATCACCACCAGTGATGACCTGTCGTGGCATCAGTGCTCTGGAGCAATCATAGCCGATCAAAAGACCTACTCCACAATCCATCCGTGCGGGCATTTCATTTGCGATCACCTCTAGATGTCTCCACCTTTTAGCTGTTTCGCAGGTTGGAATGTGTGTGCGGACAAAGGGAATAAAGTCTCTCGTGTAAACAGGAGGCAGACAGATAGGGATGTCCGAAGAAAATCCTCTAACCTGAAGTCCACTAACTCTGTGACTCGATACAACAGAGTCTTTTCCCATCATGGTAGAAAGCTTTAGTTTTACCGGTTCCATTAATACCTGCAAGCTTTCACACACTTCCTGGTCAACAAATGTGTGACTACTCTGGGTGTCTAATAAAGCATATACGCAGACTTCAGACTCTGAGTTAGATAAAGACAGCCATACTGGGACAATCATAGATGTTATATCACCTTCTCCACCATTCGTACAGCATGTTAGAGAGAATGCATTCTCTTCCGTCTGCAAAGCTGTCCGTGGAGATGACTTGTCTCCTGGCTGACGATCTTCATGTAATGAAGTTGGGTGGCGCTTCTTGCATACCACACACACAGCCCTATTTCTGCAGTCTTTGGAGCCATGCCCTTTTCTTAAGCATGCAAAGCACAACTTATTCTCCATGACAAACTTCCTCTTTTCCTCTGCTGCTCTTTCCATTAGTTTTTGACATTCCTGAATAGAATGACGATCATCACAGAACATACATTCAACTGAATTTATGCTACCCACAAATGTAGTTTTCTTTCTACAAGTCTCTTCAGTCTCACGGTCGGTAAGGTTACTGAATTCGGCCGTAGCGTATGCTGCATCTAAAGTCTTCGCAGTGGTTGCAAACGTGTTTACTCTTGAACGCTTTATTTCCTTGGATTGCTTCTCTTCAACGATCTTTAGTGCATACAATGATGACACAGGATTGCACGCTATGCGTGCTTCTTTTGATACAAATGAGGCAAACTGATTAAAACTTGGATAATCTTGGTCTTTGTCCAGCTGTTCTGTGACATAACGGTTCCACTTGCTTGTCACCCAGAAAGGAAGCTTGGCCAGTATCCTCTGATTTTCCTCGCAATCATTCAGCACCTGAAGACCCTTAATATGCGGCAAAGCATCACTACATGATTGTAGGAAGTCACTGAACTCTCTTAACTTGACGTACTCGGCTGCACCAATCTTAGGCCACCTATTAAGTTTCTCTCTAAAGGCACGTTGCACCACAAAGGAGTGACCATATCTGGCGTTCAACTTCTCCCACGCTTGCTGATAGGCCTGTTCATCTTTCCTGTAGAAGCTACCTTCCAGAGCCGATCTTGCCTCACCATCAACATACTTCTGTAAGTAGAAGAGCTTATCTGCAGGATTTGAGCACCGTCCCTCTATAAGAGCTTTAAAGGTGGTACTCCATTCTATAAACTTCAGTGGGTCGCCATAAAATACAAAGGGTTCTGGAGCGGGAAGTCGAGATAGAGCCATAGACCCTTGCAAGGCCTGTACTAAGGATACTTCACTTCTTGTAACTTGTTGATTCAAACATGTATTAGGAACCAGAGGACTGTGGTTACTCACGTCACCGCTTACTGAATCCCGCCGCTGACTTTTTACCCTTGACTCCTCCTCAGTATACACTCTGAGCCTTGCTTCCATAACCTCAATGTCTCTACGATCTTCCAGCTTCTTCAATTGCTGCCTTTGTGCCTCGATGTCAGCCTCCATTTCCACTTCAGCTTTTTTCGCAGCTAACAGCGCGGCAGTCTCCGCTCTCTTAGCTGAAATGCTTGCAGACTCCGATGCAGGTTTAGAGTGGTTGCTAACGACCGTGGCTCTACCAACCGTGGATCCATATATAGACCTAGCGTACTCACAGTCCAGTAGCATACGTAACCTTGCTCTCTCAGCTTCAGCATCAAATTCTATGCCATCCTCCACCAAGCGTACCCTCATTAATTTCAACAAGTCTGCCGTTACAGCCGAACATGCATCAATTTTTCTCCTAGTTTCTTGGCTTGGTGGTGCTTGGAATCGCATGTTATCATATAACTCTTTCAATTCAAACTCTTGCCTCTCAACCTCATCCATCATGTCACACAAGTCTCTTTCAGAGCACTCACGTTTTAATTTTAAACGAACATCTCTGACTTGAGACTTCCATTTCTCATATACAGATTTAAACTTCCTCTCCTTTTGAGTCAGTTCTTGCTCTTTTAACTCCTGCATCTTTGGAGTTAAACGTTTATCACGGGAGGATTTTCTGATTTCAGTTGTCTCTAATAAAACAGAATTAAGCTCTTTACGCCTTGCCTCAGATTTCTCTGTGCATGATGCACATGATACATGTCGATCCCTCACAACACCATCCATATTCTCATTCTCTGCCAATAAACCTGCTTGCTCTTGTAATGGAGAATCATTTTGTTCAGCTAATTCACCCTGGATTGACATTTTTCTAAAGGATTTGTGCTTTAACAAATAGTACAAAATATGTCATATATAAATCACAATAGATAGTAATGAAACAATCTCAGACTGAGTAACCACTTAACTTAAATCAATGCCATTAACACTTGAACATTTAGCTACTTAAACCTTAAACATATTACAATCATAGCAGTTAAGAATCAGTTATCTCCAGGACATTTTTTCCTAGTCCTGGTCATCTTTTATCTACATTGACTTATAACTATCCATCATTTACAAAAAAAGGATCATTTGACATTGCACTTGCACATCTAACCTGTTGATGCACAGCTGACACAAGGTTGCGTGAGAAGATCCTCCATTGACGATCATGTAGCAGATTTGCACTAACGCTCGCAACGGTCCATCACAGAAGGCAAACACTGCACGCCAAATCCTTTTAGTTCACCCAGGGACACAATCGAACGGCACGCGAAGTCCAAGGAAAGGCACAACAGAGCCGCGCGCTGAAGATAGCAGCATTAATCACCATGGAAAACAGTTAATCCGCGTGCAGAGACCCAGAAGTGGCAGGCTGCACGCCGAAGCTGGAGGATCACCGCCAAGGCACATCTTGTAGTCGGTAGAATGGAATTAGGGTACGTTTTCACTGTAACTACTCGCTGGTTACAAAACAGTCCACGCTTCGGAAATACTGATGTCCATTTTTATTTGTTCCAGAGACACCGTGAAAACTAGACAAAAATAAACCAAACCATAATTTTACACACAACACCACTACAAACACAAACCAACATAGTATACAAAATATTAAAACCTTTACCGTATTCGCCTGGTAACCAACAGTAGATTAAGTCAGGAGCACTAACATGGGTATCTGAGTTTCACATCTCATCATTACATTGACGCTGACACGTCCAGGTGAAATAATCAGCACAGGGTCACATGACACTCAACTTAAACAACAGAATAATAATAATGAAATACAAACGGTAACCAAATTATGAAATTATCACAATACAGAAATACACATTTAAACTATGAAGTCCAAATAAACTATAAAGTCAAAATAAACATTAACCGCTGAAATCACCGAAATATCATAACCCACAGCTGACCTTCCAGCGTCAGCTACAAGTTCACTGTACTAAAATGGCCTCCACAGTCACCAGATCTCAACCCAATAGAGCATCTTTGGGATGTGGTGGAACGGGAGATTCGCATCATGGATGTGCAGCCGACAAATCTGCGGCAACTGTGTGATGCCATCATGTCAATATGGACCAAACTCCCTGAGGAATGCTTCCAGCACCTTGTTGAATCTATGCCACGAAGAATTGAGGCAGTTCTGAAGGCAAAAGGGGGTCCAACCCGTTACTAGCAGGGGGTACCTAATAAAGTGGCCGGTGAGTGTATATAAAGCATGTATGCATATATATTTAACTGTATACATGTACATGCTTGTGTATGTTCATAATATATGCATGTGTGTGTGAACAGTGGGACAGGTGGAGAGTCAGTACAGTAAACTCAGATTACTCTGTATGCCCATCGTATCCACATGCGGTCATTGTGCCTCGCGAGGTGGATGATGAGAAGCTGGTCCAGTCGGCCCGGTTCAGACAGGGCGGCAGATTTCCTGTGCTCTCCTACTGTCACCATAGGAACGGAATGGTGAGTGTAGGATGTTTCAAATCATGGCCGTAACCAGGGTTCGAAAAATTAGTGAGTTCTAGGGTATTTTGTCTAACTTTTTTGCCATTCTACACTTTGGGTACACTCTCTCTGTTCTGTCTGTTTGTTAAATTAGACCTTATTTATTGCATCACAATTTGTTAATACTTTACTATAGGCTAGGTACATTTATTATTTGTTTATTATTTATGTAACAGTACTTATTGCTGTAATATATTTAATAAGCATTGCTATATGGATGATAAATGATAAGAACTTTGTCTAGTGCTCTATGAATGTTTTTAGCATGACTTTGTGAAACTTTGTTAACTACTAAACTGCAATAAAATAGCATAACCTTCCTCGAGTGTTTGCATATTTGGCATATTTTCATTCTGTAACCTATCCTGTCAGCAATAACCTGGCCACGCATTTTTAACATGGGCCTTTTTTGATTGCTGTCAGTTTAAGTGGTGGCGATTCAGTGTTGCCAGATATTGCTGCAAAAACAACAATTCCCGCTCAGCCCTCTCCCCACCAAAAAAATAAGCCTGAAATAAACTGAAATCTTGTGTTTTGGAAATAAAATAAAGATATGACTAACCCTAACTTGCAACTTCCCACTTTATTAACTTTCTAAAATGTCACATAACACTTAAACGCATACCTTTAGTATACGGGTCTTTAGTGACCCGGGACATCATTCACTACCCTCCTCCTCATTCATTTTTTTTTAAATTAGACATTAACCTTCTTAGAATTCCACAAGAAAAAAATATATAATTATAAAAGAATGCCTGTCTCCCATTCATTTTATGTAAAAATTGTATAGGGTCGCTAACGACCCAATGTGTGTAACAGTATAAGTATATTTTTTCTGGACAACAATAATTTAATCTTTGATGACTGAATAAGTGCCATTAACCTGTATTCCACAAAGTGTCAATGTCATACATAATGATGAAGTGACGTTTCAATCATAGTTACCACAGGCCGAAAACAAAAGAATAGAAAGTATCATCAGCAAAACATGAAATGGCTCAGCGATTTACTGCAGAGCAAGTACTGAAAGCAATCAAATATTAGTGTCACTGTCACTTGGTGATGGATCTGGTGAAGAAACTGTCAGCCATCAAAATATTGATTTTGAGGTTTGTTGAAAAGGATAGTTTTGAATATGTCTGAGACCGCGAATATGAGCCAGATGCTGAATGTACTGGGAAATGAGCTCTGATGAGGACAGTGATGATGGTATAAAACATCTGCTCAAACTGAACCCTTCCAAGCTCCAAAAGGTAACAAAATATGCTTTAATTTATTTTTCTGTAATTGCATATCAGGAGAGTTTTATATTATCGTGACAGGTAGAGATTCATCCAAGTTAGATATAGATGTGGGTCACTAAAGACCCGAATATGTAATAATGATTGGTGAAAAATTCATGCTTTTAAGGGAATAAAGTGGTGTAAGTGAAATAAAACAAGTCTAAAGACCCTTATAATAACTGGATCTGGCAACACAACAGAGGCTGCATCTGCGCCCTCTCTCATAATTCTCTCTCAAGCCCTGTTCACTCTGCCAGCGTCTCGCAGCAACATGAATCGCTCTCCATAATTTTACTCCCCATGGGGACAAAACAATCTAGCAAACTGTAAAAATCAAACTAAACTGAATTATACATGCAGTCACTCACAGGAGGAGTTGTAAACGCCTAATTAGTCATTCAGAGAACTTCAAATTTTAACAGAGGTCCAGACCTCGGTGACCTCATAGCTGGCTATGGCCATGTCTTAAATATAAGTGTATGTAACAGTGTATTGGTGTGAAAGAACAGTACAACCATAAAACTGTACAAAGGTTTAACATTGTTTCCAGCATTAAATTCATCAAAGCGAAAAATACATCATACAGCTCAATTTCAAATTTTGTAGGCTAATAAATTCATACAAAGTAAAAGTTATTTGCATCCATAGGTGATCATGCGAAGTAGCCAGCCCTTGACAGGAGCCAATAGGAAGAGATGTAAGGAGGATGAGCTCCTTCTCCAGGCTGTGATTGATGGGTCAGTGTTGGGTTACATTATCGATCTGCGTTCTACCCAGCAAGCCCAGCAGGCCCGGATGACAGGAGGAGGTTTTGAGTCTAAATCCTCTTATAGCCACTGGAAAAGAATCCATAGACACCATGAAAGGTGAGAGGGAATATTACAAGTCATTTTTAATTGTCTGAAATTATGTAACACATTTGACTTTGAAACAGATTTGCCTTTGGCTTTGATTATGCATGTCGTGTGTGTTTACAGGGGTAAGGTTCTGCAGGAGAGTCTTATTAAGCTGGTGGAAGCGTGTAGTGACCCGTCTCACAGTGTGGACCGCTGGCTCAGTAAACTGGAGAACTCCAAATGGCTTTCTCATGTTCACAGTGCGCTGTCCACTGCAGGACTGGTGGTAGAGTGTGTGGAGAGGTGGGAAGATCGATTACTTTGGTCTTTTAAAGGGACACTACAGAATTCTGGGCTCTCTGTCACCATCTGTGGTTAAAACATAAAATTGCAGTTTTATTAAATTATTGTAGGTTTTCTGTAGTGACTCAGTTTAACACGGATGGTCTATGTACTGGCTCAATAATTAATTTCTAATAGAAAAATTTAATTCTCTGTAGTGTACCTTTAACTATTATTGTGGTTTGCTTTTTACATTCTCTTTATTGTTATTTTATCCACTGTCTTTGTGTAACTTACAGATAAATATATATTAGGAATTGCATGTTTTAATGTTTTTGATGTCAGTTATGGTTGACAAGCATATTTATTAATGTGTTTCTTCATTTATTATTGTAATGGCAAAGCTGAATTTCAAAAATCATTTTATTATGCTGATTTGCTGCACAAGAATCATTTCTTATTATTATTATCAATGTTGAAAACAGTTATGCCACTTCATATTTTTGTGGAAACAGAAATATACATTTTTTTTTCCTGGATTCTCTGATAAATAGTAAGTTCGAAAGAACAAGATTAATTTAAAATATAAATCTATCTTTTGTAACATTATAACTTTACTAACCCTTAACTTCTAAATGTGTGTGTATAAAAGTGCTGGGTAGGTTGTTGTCTGGTACTGATTCCAAATTACATCTATTACATTACACATTTTAGGTAATATAATCCAACTACTTTTTATAACATGGTACTAGTAATATTGTACCCAGTGTTGGGGAAAGCTATACTTTTAAAAGTAATGCATTACAATATTGCGTTACTCCCTTAAAAAGTAACTTATTGAGTTACTTTGTTACTTTTTTACTTAGTTACTTTTTCTCACCTGGTTTTATACGTTTTATAACAAAAAGTGCTATTTTTAGGCAAATGTAAAGACCCTTTTATACCTAAATTGAAATAATAAGCCTCCAACTGAAGGAAGTGCAAATTCATGCGTGTACAGTCGAAGGCGCCGCTCAAACAAACCTTTCAACTTTCAACACTTTTCTTGACCAATAAAAACTAAAAATAGAAAGTCATTTTTAGTAGTCAATATAAAGTACATTGGTCAATAAAGCGAGATTAAATGCATACAAATATTTGTTTTATGTAACATTTAATTATTGGAGGTTTGCATAGTTGATTTAGCATTTGACTGAATTTTTTTATTTTGAGGAATACTGAATCTTTTTTGTGCAAGTGAGACGAGTAAATGCACGCTCACATTTAGTCTAGAACTACAATAACCATCATGTTTACACACAACGCCTCTGCACTTTTCTCTGCACTCTGCACGATTTGTTTCAACATTGGGACAAGAGAGCTGTCAGTCAATACATGGGAATACAAAGTAACTTGCGTTACTTATTTTAAAAAGTAACAGGGATATTTTGTTGTAAATTTTAAAAGTAATGCATTAGTTACTTGAAAAAGTAATCTGATTACGTAACTCAAGTTACTTGTATAATGGGTTTCCCCCAACACTGATTGTACCATATTGATATAAGAATACAAAGAGAAAGAATATATATATCAACAACATGAAGTGCATTAAACATTAGATTACGTCAGGGTTCATGATGGAACTGCAGGGGGTTTGTGAGTTTGATTAAATCAAGTTTAATTAAATTAGTTTAATTAAACAAATCATAAAAATGTAAAATTAAAATAAATCATTTTAAAGTACAAGCCTTCCAAGGACATAGAAATACATGTTAAATGACTTGTTGAGTGATAATTCGAATAATAATTAATGTGTTCGTCATTTATTTTTCTCTCTGTTGTTTTTTCAATCCTGTGCTTATGCATGGCTCTGGGATGTATTGTTCTGGCATATGGTCTATTTTTGTGTGGTCACTCCTGGCATACACATGGCTTTGAGATGTATCGCTCTGGTCTGTGCTCTGTTTTTTGGCAGGGATGGTCACTCTGTGCTTGTGCATGGCTCTGAAGGGACAGACAGCACTCTGCTGGTGAGTTCATTGGCTCAACTTATCCTAGACCCGGCCTCTAGAACTCTCACTGGTTTCCTCTGCCTGCTGGACAGGGACTGGATACAGGTGAATGTTTGTTTGTGTGACATCATTTGTACTCAGGTATCTGTGAAATTTGTGAATGTTTAGAGATGCATTATGCCAACAAAGCCACTTTTCTAATAAACTACACCCAATATAATTTCAGATCTGATTGTCAGGTGAATTGTATGTTTGTTGTTTCTTAGGCTGGACACCCCTTCCAGCAGCGCTGTGCTCATTCGGCGTACTCTCATGCCCGTCTGAAGCAAGAGTGCCCGTCCTTCCTGCTGCTGCTTGACTGTGTGTGGCAGGTGTGGCGGCAATTTCCTCTGGCCCTGGAGTTTAGTGAGGCCCTGCTGCTCCGATTGGCACAAGAGGTTTACGCTTCTAACTATGGAACCTTTCTATGTAACAACGAGCAGGAGAGGTGGGCACAAATTATCCATATATGACACTCATCATTATTATGCACTATACCTTTATTGTCACTTCTGATCAATTTAGAATAAAAATTATCTTTTTAAATTACTGACACTCGACTTTTGAGCACTAATGTATGTACTGTATTATTTATTTATTTAAAAATGTTGCCTGGGATAGATGTGCTGCAGGAGTGAAGGAGAACACACACTGTTTGTTTCAATCCCTACTGAGTCCTGATATTGAAGAGCAGTACCTCAACCCACTGTATGAACCCACTGATTTAGCCATTTGGCCTTCAGTGCATCCTCAGTCCTTACAACTATGGACAGGTTTGCTCCAGATTATTCAGTAGATACACACATAAATATAAAGTTACAGCTGTGGTGTGATAATGTTATTGGAGTTTATTAGTGTGTAGGTCCTCATTATCTCTATGGGTTTGTTGGTAGGGCTGTTCCTCAGGTGGACTGAGTATGCTCAGAACATGGAGGAAGTTCGAGAGGAGGTGTGGAGCATTGTGAAAGAACACCGTGAGAGAGCGGGACCTGACCGGACCAATAATATGCCTAGTACACACTGTGACACCTTGACCCCATTTGAGAACCTCATGGATGAGCTGACTATTTTGTGACCTCATGGTTGAAAGGACATTGTAGAGACTGTTACTACTATTATGCATGTCTTGGCAAGAATTAGTCCAATAAAATGAAAATCACTGCCAATCAGATATATCAGATATAATGTAATTTACGAAAGTAATCTGATGTTCTGTCATTGAATAGTAATCAGACATGCTTGCATTTGAAGATCAGACATATTGGCGATCCTCTGCCTTACTTTCAAGCAAAATGCTAATGTAAATGATGTGTTTATTGTAGTGTGTTTGAGTAGTTTTTTGGGATTTACTGTGATTATATGAGACAACATCAATGATGATGTTTTATTGTAAACATTTTTCACATTGTTACAGACAGGTGAATGTGAGAAGTTTGAATACCTATATCAGAAGGCGATTTTATAAATGTTTGAGAAGTTTCAGCATTTGCCATTGGAGCATGGTTTATAGCCTAATTAATTATTGCACAGCTCTCTAGAATAATTGATTCTGATTGGTTAATTGCCACATTCATAACTTTTCGAGGGAAATATTTTAATAAATATTATTACAAATGTTTTCTAGCGTATTTGTATTGTGACATTTTGATACATTTAGCCTACTTTTTATTTGATTTTAGAATTTATTTTAATTTTATAGAATGTATAACTGACATATTTTTTTCTATTCAGAAATTATTATATTATATCATTATTTGACATTAAAGTATATTATAAATACACATTTGATTATAAAATTATAAAGGGGAATCTGCGCATGCGCGCACATACACAAACAATAACATCTCACTGGCCAATAAAGTCTTCAGGGTAAAGCCCCAGCTCAGCTAATCTCACCCACACAATATAAATCCGGAGTGGGCAGCCCGTCAGCAAGTTTGCCCTCTTGTAGCGCTAATGGACACCGCGGTCATTATCACGCGACCGCATGTGCTAGCATAACGATACAACTAACTACATTTCCCAGCCTTCTCTGCTCCGGCAACTTTTTTATCCAATGGTCATTCGATGCGCTCCTCCGGCAACCAATCGGGCAGTAATCTCTTAATTCTAACGGTTAAATACCATGAAAATCCCTCTTATCAGCACTATTTACTTACTTAATTTTCCACCTCGGGATACACCACAGCAATGTTGTGATTTTGGTGCAAGACACGTGTTTCACATCATCACGGATTTCAAGTTTTGATAAGCTCAAGGTGAGATGTTGCGCTTTTTCTTGAACTAGCAACTGATTTACATTAATCGTGTATCAATCAACTCCATTTTAATCACTTGACCTTCAGATTTAGCAAAAACTAAGAAACAACATGTAAAATAGTTACTGTATTCTTTCTGAACCATTCGGTTTGATGACTGAAATGTTTAACTGACAGATAGACGACATGCTGTCAGGTGTCCGGGTGTGTGTCCGCTCGCTGGGTAAAGGTTGGTCAGTTCGCGGCATGAGTTTGTCGCCGCGTCAAATCAACCGATGGCCGAACAACGAGTCCTCCGAGCCTCCTACGGACAGACCTCGAGTCCTCATCACAGGTGCCATGTTTCCCAGCTGCTTAAATAACGTGTGATAAACTGTAATGTTTTGGTGGAAAAAGTAATCCGTTCCATCATGTCTTCTATGTTTGTTTTTCATGCACGTAAGAGGCGATCCTATTGATCGCCATGACAATAGGTTGGGAATAAACAGTGTTAAAAGCGCTCCGCGTGCGCACAATGGAGCGCGCGGCTGTTTTATGCTTGTGCAATAGCGTGTAAAGACTGTGTAAATGGACTGTCAGTTGTAGTGGAGCTGAAAAATGTCTGGTCAATAACAATCACGGAGCCTATTTTAAATTAATTAGGCCTGTTTATGAAACTGTACTGCCATTTGTGAGCTTTTCGTTCTTTTGAGTACTTTATTTGCCCGTACGCTATATTTGAAGGCACACTACAAATAGCATCAAATGGGTTCTAAGCGCTTACCAAATTCACAATAATCCAAGTTGCTACTTAGCCTATGTGTCTGAGGCATCAGTCTAAGTAATCACTGTAATATATATATTTATTTATTATATTTAGTTGTAGTTGATCCCACATGATGTGTGGTATCATGTTTTCTTTTATTGTGCATTCACCTCTGACCTCAAAAATAATGCACATGTTGCAGGTCCCGGCACAGGAGACCCAGCTGACAGATTACTGTTATCTGTAAAACAGGATTTAATGAAAAGAATGAGAGAGTCGCGTCTGCTCTTTCACAGCTCCTCTGCAGAAATATTTATTTAATGCACAATAAATCAAGCCCAACAGTTGCTTTTAAAGCATTAATCCACATTCTTCTGTCTGTCTTATTACATCACTTTTGTCACCAACACCAAAATAAATCACCTTTTGTCTCATTTCTTCACTTTACCATTTTTAGTTAACATTTAACATATATATATTATATTTTATAATTAGTCATACCAATATTCTTTAGCACAATGAGATTAAGTATGAACTTAATGCATATGAACTCTGAAAATGTGTATTCCAAAAGGTACTTGCTCCTTAAAACCATTGTGAAACATTTCACTTTTGTTCCTACGTTTCTATCAGTGCCCGATCACGTGACTGGCAAGCGCGCCAAACGCGATCACAGAGAGAGCTTCAAAGATACACTAAACTCGACATATTAACTAATTAACACAAGCTAACAAACTTTTCATGACACACAAACTATTAATACAACAGTATAGCTAAATATAATGACCACTGGAGCGAACTAATCTCATTTTCCTCATGTTGAAGTGAGCATACATCATGACAAACAAAAGTCATCAACTAAAACACATTTAACACTTTACATTCACTAAACGGTAATAGAGATAGTGCAATCGCTGGTATAGTTACATAATACTCTTTTGAATGTCCATGTTTTTACCTGTAAAACAGGATTCAATGAAAAGAGAGAGAGAGAGTCGCGTCTGCTCTTTCACAGCTCCTCTGCAGATATGAGGGAGCATGCGCAGTTCACGGTTTCGCCCGCGACTCTCCAGCCAGAATGTCAAAATAAGAGTCCTTTATTTTTGTCCATATAAATGTAAATATAAGTTTGTTAATTTGCATACAACATAAGCCAATAATGTAATCAGTTTACTCATAACAATATACAATACATATTCAATAGAAGGGGAAAAACACAATTGTGTACATACTTTGTGTGTATCACACTCTCCCTGACAAAATAAGAACAGCTCCAGTGGTCAACCTCTTTCCTCCAATATGTGCAATCAACACACGGGCACAGTGAAATTGTAAGGTGTGTATGTGTGTGGAGTGTATGAATTGGGATAACCAATTGGTGGCAAGTAACTATTAATACCCCAAACAGGTACATGTGTGATCGGATAAGCTGTTACTGCATTAAGTGTCGGGTATGGCTGTACCACAGGCTGACCTAAAGTGTCATAAGTATAAATCTGTCGTGGCCTTTTGTCTCTAGTAGACCTTCTCACCGCAGCTTCATCCTCCACACTTGGACTTTCAGCCTCTCTTGCCACTCCCTCTGGCTTAACACAAGCAGCTGTTTCCCTCTCCTCGTCCACATCATCCTCCACAGGTAGTACCAGGTAAGTATTTGGTTCACTTTCTGGGGCATTTTCCAGTATCCTTGATACTCCCCTTCTTTGTGTTTGATTAAACTCTTCTCTTACAGGTGCTCGCTCAGGTAGAAGACTATTCATTGGTTCTGTCCAGCTAACTGGGTTTCTCAGCCAGTATCCTCCTCCACTACTTTCCTCATCTGAGTCCGTCATGTCACTGTCTCGGTCTCTGATGTTTTCTCTGTTGGGTGACTGACCCCTTTTCTTTTTTTGTCTTTCAGGTTTTGTCGATCGGAATGTCGTCGTGGGAGCCTCCACAGGTAAGTCATTCACCAGTAGTAGTAGATTCCGGTGCAGTGTCTTAGTTTTCTTATTGTCACCATTTTCAGGGGAGACTACATAAACTGGGTTATCAGATACCTGCCCCTTCACCACGTAAACCACCTTTTCCCAGTAGGATCGTAACTTCCCTGGACCCCCTCGTTCTCCAAGGTTTCTGACGAGCACTCTGTCTCCCACTTTCAGTACCACTCCTCTCGCCTTCCGGTCATATTGAGCTTTCCCTCTCGCACTTGCTTGACGACTGTTTCCTTCAGCAATCTTGTATGCCTCAGCCATCCGCGCCGCCCACTGATTCGCATATCCCTTTGTAGTGACTCCGTCCGTTGGCTCCACCAGGCCGAAGATCAGGTCTACTGGAAGGTGAGGATGCCGTCCGTACAACAGGTAAAAGGGAGAATATCCAGTGGACTCGTGCCGGGTACAGTTGTAGGCATGCACAATTTGAGGTAAGTGCTCTTTCCACCTTTCTTTTTCTTTGTCTGCCAGAGTCCTCAACATCTGTAGAAGGGTCCGATTGAACCTCTCGACTGGGTTTCCTTGGGGGTGGTATGGCGACGTTCGAGAATGGCCGATGCCAGCAAACTGTTGGAGAGTGCGAAAAAGTTCATTCTCAAACTCACGCCCCTGGTCATGATGTAACTTGGCCGGATACCCGAAGCGCGGAATGTAATCTTGGAACAAGCGCTCAGCTGCAGTCCGCCCTGACTTGTTCTTGGTTGGGTAGGCTTGGGCGAACCTTGTGAAATGGTCCATGACGACCAGGATATATTCATATCCTCCACGGCTCGGCTCCAGGTGCAGGTAGTCAATGCAGACCAGCTCCATAGGTGAGTGTGTTGTGATGCTACCCATGGGCGCTCGTACATGTACAGTCGGCTTCTTCTGTTTTATACATGGGCACTTTCTGGTCACATATTCTTCCACTTCAGCTTTCATGTATGGCCAGTAGAACCGTTCCCTCGCCAGGCTCCGTACCCACATGTCCCATCTTGTCATGGAGGTGCTCAAGTGCCAGCTTTTTGTACTTGCTCGGTAAGACAAGCTGTTTTCTCTCCCTCGTTCTTCGATATAGGAGTCCTCCCTCAAGATGTAACTTATTCCACTCATACATCAGCTTTCTGTTGGTTCCTGTCAAAACTCCCCTCATCTCGTCTGTGAGGGTGACACCCTCCTCCTTCCATTGTCTCACTTGAGAGATTACAGAATCCTCTTTCTGAGCTTGAATCAGTTCATCCTGTCCTATTGTTGGCAACCAGGTGGTGGGTTGATGTGGTTCATCCTCCCCAGTCGACATATACAGGGCAGCGACCCAGGCCACGTCCTTCATCTTCGACACATGACTGCCCTCCCATGCTGCTTGTATTGCCCCTGCGGGTAGCCCTTCCGTGCACTCTGATGCGTATACTTCAATGTCCAGAGGAAGACGAGACAAGGTGTCTGCGTCGATGTTGACCTTCCCTGGCCGATACTTGACATCAAACCGGAAGTCAGACAGCTCCCCGACCCACCGATGGCCTACTGCGTTGAGCTTTGCCGTGCTCATCGCGTATGTCAGGGGGTTGTTGTCGGTGTACACTGTGAAGTGTGGGGCATAGAATAGGTAGTCCCGGAACTTCTCGCACACTGCCCACTTCAATGCCAGGAACTCAAGTTTACCACTGTGCAATCTGTAGTTCCTCTCAGTCGTTGTCAATGTTCTGGATCCATATCCTATTACTCTCAACCTCCCGTCTTGTCGCTGGTATAGGATGGCCCCTAGGCCCCTTTCAGATGCGTCAGTGTGGAGCGTGAAGGGTAAGTTGAAGTCCGGATATGCCAGTATAGGTGGGCTTGCTAACATACCAATTAGTTCCTCCAGGATCTGTTGGTGGTCCCTGGTCCATTCTACTGGAGTTCTGGAGGGAACTTGTGGGCCTTTAGCTTTCTTCCTGTTTTCCAGTGTTGTTCCAGGCTTCGCCTGCAGCAGTTCGTACAAGGGTTTTGCTGTCCTGGAAAAGTCTTGAATGAAGGCACGGTAGTAGCTGAGGAACCCAAGTAACCTCCTCACATCACCTACTGTCTGGGGAGTCCTGGTTGTTAAGGATCGGACCGCCTCCAGGTCCTTAGGATCTATCCGCACTCCTTCTGCTGACACCAGCCGTCCGACGTACCTGACCTCACTCCGGAACATTTCACACTTTCCAGGTTTCAGCTTTACACCATGATACTGGAGAGCCCTCAACACCCTACGGATACTCTCAACATGCTCTTCAAAAGACCTTGCATAGCATAAGACATCATCTAAATATGGGATGCAGCACTCATCCCTGAGCGTGTCAAGCATTTCTTCCATACTGCGTTGAAAGGCAGCAGGCGCATTGGACAACCCAAAGGGGATCCGGACCCATTCATACAGCCCCCAGGGAGTGATGAATGCTGTCATGTGTCTGGATCCCTCTGCGATGTACCCCTGGTGGTACGCTTTGCCTTGGTCGAGAATGCTGAACCAGGAGTATCCCCCAAGGGTGTCAATCAGATCCTGTATCCTAGGCAATGGGTGACGGTCAGGGATGGTTTTCCTGTTCAGGAGACGGTAATCAACACAGAGCCTCAGCTTGCCATCCTTCTTGCGGACACAGACTACTGGAGCGGCATATGGTGACTTTGATTTGACGATCCATCCTTTCGCTAGGAGATCCTGTATGTAGCTCTTCACCTCGTTAAACAAGGGTTTTGGCACTGATGAATACGCCCTCTGAACCGGGATGTCGTCTTTAAGTGTGATTGGCATCTGCAAGCTGGGTATGCAACCAATGTCATTGTCATCTCTGCTGAAGGCACCAGATTCCTCATACAACATTCTTTGAACAACCTCTCGTTGGCCCTCTTCCAGGTGGTCCAGGTTGACGGGTGGATGCCACAATGATGTTTTCACCTCCTCCTCTTGAGTGGTCGCAGAATGGATTATTGTCTGCGTTGGCTCACTTGTTTTCCCAGGCTCCACTAATATCCTCTCAATCCGCTGTAATGATCCAATCACTGTGCCACGTGGCAGGGTCACATCACACACTGTGCTATTTCCAATGGGTATGGAAACACAAGGGTCACTTTGGGGTTGTATTTCTAAAAGCCCCTCTCCAATGTCCAAGAATCTTAAATGGTCACTATTTTCATGAGGCTCAAACAAGACCACCGTGTCAGACTGTGTCATCTTCAAAGGGATTCTGCACTTCACCCAAGTCACCTGTCCTGCCCGGATAACTACCCCTCTTGGACCAACCTTCAAGTGCCCGTCTCCGTTATCTTCTTCAGCAGCTTGGATCACCCTGACTAAAGTTTGTGCCTTTTCGCGAGGGATATCAATGGCCCCGGCCAGTAGTGAGGTAAGTGTTGGCATCAACTGCTCGGACTGCCCTTGAATCAGTTCTTCAACTAAGTTGAAACCCAGGAGTGGTCTCTCCATTGGCATCTTACTCACCAGGAATGGGACATTAATAGATAGACGTGGGTCCTCATTTCCTAGCAGGTTGACTGTGATGACCGCCCAGCCGTCAAATGGGATAAGGCCTCCATTTACAGCATAGACTTTCAGATCATCTTGACACCCAAGAAGTTCCCGAAGCGGCCTCACCTCAACACTTGGCAGATATTTATCTTTCCACTCACGGTCCACCATGCTGACTTGGGCACCCGTGTCGAGTAATGCCCTCACTGTCAAGCCATTCAAGTTGCACTGAGTCAGTGCCTTGCTTCCGATCAGTTTGATTATGTTGTCGTTTTTGGTCTTACAGGAGCCCAGAACACTTGCCACTTGGCTCCTGGACCTCACCTCATTTATAGATTTGTTTGTTTGTCCCTGGTGCTTGTGTTCTTGTTCTAGCACTTCTCTCTCCCTAGGCCTGGCCGGCTTTGAGGGAACAACGTCTGGTTGGGGCATTTGCTGTGCGGTCACTGGTTGCCCCTTTGCAGTGGCCGGTTCCCGTTTCCCTGTCGCTGAGGTCGCCGTAGGCACCCCACTGCCTGGTGTCCATCCTCACTACAGATGAAACAGTGAGTACAGTCCTGTCGCCCTTCGTCCGCACACCGTGGACAGCAACGCCAGCGGCTCACCCGGCGAGAGGGTGGTTGGCTGGAGGAGCATTGGCAGCCACCCTCTGTTCGTACTGGCATGGAGTGTTGTATAGCGTCTACCATACTGGTTAGAGCATCAATCCTGGCCGTAAGAAGCTTAATCTGATCGTTCTGCTCTTTTTGTGCAGCAAACCCTTTTGCAGCTTTCACATCTCCGCCAGTTTCATCGCTAACTTGGGCACTATTAGCCATGGATGGTTTTGCTCTGGTTGGTGGGCCCAGTCGACGCAGCCTCTCATTCTCGTCACTTGTGATTTTCATAACGTGCCTGAGGATAGCATCGTCAGTTACATCACTATCGGCTAGCAAGGGTTTGAGCTCGCTGCGAATATCTTTACACCGGTGGCTTAGACCCTGGTAAACAGTGTGTAAGAACACATCCTGCACCGTAGCTGCACTATACTTCCTGTCTGAATCAGCTTGTTTAGCCGCATAGAGTATTTTTTGTTTCAACCCCATGACTCGGTACAGGAACTGTTGAGGGGTTTCGTGTTCGCTCTGCTTGGTGCACATTAGTTCTTGGAATAGCTCGGTGCTATTTCGGTCCCCCAAGTGTGATTGCAAGAACCCCTTTAGTTCAGCTACAGTCATGTCATCTTTGTTCATCAGCATATCTTTAAAAATGCCTGGCTTGATAATTCGCAGCACCCCTCTAACAACATCGGCATCACTGAAGTTCTCCTTTAGGCCGCTGTCCATTTGCCTGCAGACATTGTTGAACGTGATGTCTGACGAGTTATCTCCAATCTGGCCTCCATGTATCTTAAACTCACGGGGCTGGATATACTTAAACCCCCCCATAGGGAACGCGAAGTCGTGAGCTAAATTTTTTTGTTGCTCAGTCTGGTACATGTGTGCTGTAGTGGCGCCTCCCTGTGCAACTGTGTGGGTCAAGTTAGTGTTCTGGGTAGGTGTCATGTACTGGCGAATCTTTCTACCAATTTCTTCATACTCTGCAAGCATTTTACGCATGTCTGTGTTTGTTTCAGGTACACCCCCCTTAACACTCCCAGAGTCAGGTGCAACATGTGATGTCAGATAAGGGTTATCAGTGGCAGGTGGATGTAATACATGTGTAAGGTGAGTGTCTGTATCAACTTCAGATGTACATACAGCAGTGCAAATCTGTTTTGCTGATTTTACAGTCTCTTGCAATGACAACAGTTCACTCATACCTTGGTCCTCCGTCTCGAGCAAAGATTCACTTGACATGAAGGCATCGATGTACTCGAAACAACCCTCACTGTCTTCCAGGTCAAGTTCAAATGAGTCTTTACCTCGTACTGGCCCGATGACCTTGGCGATGCGAAACAGTTCATCAGCAGGCAGTGTCATCAGGTCTTTTCTGATGTCCCACACCAAGCGTTTCCTCGTACGATCTGCCATGACGTCGTTCTCTGTTGTCCTTCCCGAGACTGCCTTAACCTCAGGATGAAGACAGTCGCCTGTTCAGCCCTCTGTGCGTGTCTCGTTGTCACCGTTGATGCAGCAGCCACCGGCCTCTAGCCCCAGTGCCACCTTGTCCCACGGTCCTGATATCTCTGGATCCGCCTCCTAGCGTCACCTGGAGTGGATCCCGGACGAGCCCCCAAGAATCTGTTGCAGGTCCCGGCACAGGAGACCCAGCTGACAGATTACTGTTATCTGTAAAACAGGATTTAATGAAAAGAATGAGAGAGTCGCGTCTGCTCTTTCACAGCTCCTCTGCAGAAATATTTATTTAATGCACAATAAATCAAGCCCAACAGTTGCTTTTAAAGCATTAATCCACATTCTTCTGTCTGTCTTATTACATCACTTTTGTCACCAACACCAAAATAAATCACCTTTTGTCTCATTTCTTCACTTTACCATTTTTAGTTAACATTTAACATATATATATTATATTTTATAATTAGTCATACCAATATTCTTTAGCACAATGAGATTAAGTATGAACTTAATGCATATGAACTCTGAAAATGTGTATTCCAAAAGGTACTTGCTCCTTAAAACCATTGTGAAACATTTCACTTTTGTTCCTACGTTTCTATCAGTGCCCGATCACGTGACTGGCAAGCGCGCCAAACGCGATCACAGAGAGAGCTTCAAAGATACACTAAACTCGACATATTAACTAATTAACACAAGCTAACAAACTTTTCATGACACACAAACTATTAATACAACAGTATAGCTAAATATAATGACCACTGGAGCGAACTAATCTCATTTTCCTCATGTTGAAGTGAGCATACATCATGACAAACAAAAGTCATCAACTAAAACACATTTAACACTTTACATTCACTAAACGGTAATAGAGATAGTGCAATCGCTGGTATAGTTACATAATACTCTTTTGAATGTCCATGTTTTTACCTGTAAAACAGGATTCAATGAAAAGAGAGAGAGAGAGTCGCGTCTGCTCTTTCACAGCTCCTCTGCAGATATGAGGGAGCATGCGCAGTTCACGGTTTCGCCCGCGACTCTCCAGCCAGAATGTCAAAATAAGAGTCCTTTATTTTTGTCCATATAAATGTAAATATAAGTTTGTTAATTTGCATACAACATAAGCCAATAATGTAATCAGTTTACTCATAACAATATACAATACATATTCAATAGAAGGGGAAAAACACAATTGTGTACATACTTTGTGTGTATCACACTCACATAAAAGTGACATTTTTAATTAATAATTAGATTTAGGTCATTTATTCGGCTTACTTGCTGCTCAGTTGTGGCATTGTGAGTGGTGACAGTTGTTAAATGTTTGTTGCTGTAGTGTGTGTTTAAACTCCTTTAATTGTTGAATGTGTTTTTCTCCTGTTAAAAGGTGGCCTAGGACAGCTTGGAGTTGGTCTAGCTCAAATGCTGAGGTTAGTGAACAGCTGAAAGATGTGTAGCGTGAGAGAAATTTGAAATCAGACTCCAGCACACACATTTTTTTACACCTTTGCATAGATTGGATATTTGCCTTGCTTTGCGTTGATATTTGCTGTGAAAATTTTCTCTTTTTAATTTCCGGAGGTAGATTCTGTGAAATTCTGCAAACGCTGAATGAACGTTTCACTTTTATTTTGTCTATGTTGTTTCATAATCATATTTAACCCCTTTTACATCAGGCAGCAGTATGGAAAGGAAAATGTCATCCTGTCGGATATCAGGAGGCCTCCCGCTGAAGTTTATAACATGGGTATGTTGACTGACTCTCAATATGGCTCTGATATGGGCAGGCGGTTGCATCAGGTGCAACATATATATAGAGCCACATGGACAGTGTGGTGCTTTGAACTGGCTGTTAAAGTTTACAGTAGCTATAAGTTTATTTATCATGTGGCTCTTTTTATTTCAACACTCCAAATACATTTCAGTAACACCGGATAAGGCTCTATATGTTATTATTAATTAATAAAATAGCAAAGGTGAAATAACAATAAAATAAATCTTAAAGCATTTATTAATCTTATATCAATTTGTACATACTCTACCGTTCAAAAGTTTGGTTTTTTTAGATGTTAATATTTTTTAATTTGGCAATAATGCATTAAACTGATCAAAAGTGATAAATGCTTTTCTAATCATCTATCCTGATTTTTTTTATCATGGTTTAAGCAGCACATTTTCAACATAATGATAATAAGAAATCAGCATATTATGATTTCTGAAGGATCATGTGACACTAAAGACTGGAGTAAATTCACAGGAATAAATTACATTTTGAAATATATCATGATAGAAAACAGTTATTTTAAATTGTAATAATATTTCACAATATTGTGTTATATTATGTATGTTTTTTCTGTATTTTTAATCAAATAAATGCATGGTGCGCATAAGAGACCAAGAGACTTCTTTCAAAATCATTTTAAAAAGTGTACCGACCCCAAACTTTTGAACATTAATGAATGTAAATGCATTTTGATTCACACTTTTTGTATAAATTAACATAAATGTATTTCAAACATTAATGTAAAGCTGCAGTCTGTAATTTTTTGGGGTTAAAAATTATCCAAAATAAATTTTTGAGCAATTACATATCCAGCCAGTGTTCAAAACTATCTGCTTGCTAGCTCGATTCAAAACGGTAAGCTTGTGATAATGTTTTTAATTCCAGTGGTACTGGTGGATTTCCGCGGGAGATTCGAGCATTTCTTTGCGTCATTACACATCTGTACACATAAAGAAGGAGTCTCGGCTAGTATAAGCTATATTGCGTGTGAGGATGTTGGAGGTGGAGATTTATAGCCTTTTCATTTACATTTTTACATCATTACATTTTCCGGTGAAATTCTTATGTTGGTCATACTTCCAAAAAGTTAAATCTGTGATTCTGAATGACAGTATCCACACCGGCTCGGTGACTGACAGCCGCACATTCTCCTCAAAACATTGGATTCATCCGCCCTGTGCCGTGCCGAGGCACAACCCACGTAAAGTTGATAATTCCACGAGTAACTGCAATTGCAGATTTCGAACAGAGATGGCGACAAAGAGGAAAAACTACGAACGGCAGCTTTAAGTCATAGTATATTTATGAATTAACATTAACCTAGATTCATGCTGTAATAAATATTATTTATTGTGAGATCATGATCATGTTAACAAATTGAACCTTATTTACATTTCAATCACTTGGCCTCGTTCATATTCCTATTAATAAAGCTCGCATTTAAACTCCAACGTCTGTTGTGTGTTTTACCTCACAGGTCCATTTGTATACGCTGACGTGCTGGACTATAAAAACCTGAGGGAGCTAGTTGTGAATAACAGAATCACCTGGCTGGTGCATTATAGCGCATTGCTCAGTGCTATCGGGGAAGCTAACATGGCTCTCGCCCGCACCATCAATATCACAGGTGGGAAAACTCTGTCACACATGTTTTAAGCGTTAGGGTTAGGTGCTATGACTGCCTAATTTACAACGTAAGGTTTCCACTATCCCTGACGTCCCACATTCTGTCCTTCTCCTGTTGCCCCTGTCCTGATATCTTCTCTTCTCCTCACCCCACTCCTCTTTCTTTAGGTCTGCATAATGTGTTGGATCTGGCTCTGGAGAACTGCTTGCGACTGTTTGTTCCCAGTACCATCGGAGCATTTGGCCCTTCGTCTCCCCGCGACCCGGCCCCTGACCTCTGCATCCAGAGACCTCGCACCATTTATGGAGTTTCCAAAGTCCATGCAGAGCTGATGGGGGAAGTAAAGATTGATGTTTTTTTATGTTCTAGTTAGTCTGGGGAAATTAATGAATGAATGAATTAGTTAATATGTATGTGAATGTATATACACTTTGTAAGCTTCATGTGAACAATTTCTCACTTACATCAGGGTTTCCCAATAACTAATCTAACGTAAAATTAAAATAAATGAATAAATGGGGCTGCATGATAATCGCAATATAGCTTGATGAGATGATCAAATCAAAGGTTGCAATTTAATTAAATAATTGTATTCTCTATTTCAGAGTGAAGAACATTATTATTATTATTATTTATTATTTTGTATTATCAACATCAGAGAACTTGCAAATGATTGAAATATTAAATCTCAATGGGTACTTCAAGTAAATATTTTACATCTAAGAGGTTCGGCTGAAAAAAAAACGGTTTGGAACTCCTGACTTACATGATATTTAATTATGAAATGCAAACATCCTAACTGTGTTCTGATTGGTTCAGTATCTCCACCATAAATATGGCCTGGATTTCCGATGCTTGCGATACCCAGGAGTCGTTTCTGCCAACACCAAGCCAGGAGGAGGCACCACTGGTAACCAGCCTCACTTACAAACACAATCTTTAGTTGTATATAAAGAAACACACCTTCAAACGTATTCAATTATTCATTGAATTGTCATTTACTTACAATAAAACAACACACCTAATCTGACCTATTTAATCGTATACGTCCTCTTTTCCTCAGATTATGCTGTCCAGATCTTTCACGATGCCCTCAGCACCGGCCACCATGAATGTTACTTGCGTTCCAGCACTCGGCTTCCCATGATGCACATCTCTGACTGCCACAGGGCCACCATTGAGTTCATGCAAGCTCCTGAAAGCCGACTTTCATTGCGTACTTACAACATCGCAGCCATGAGCTTCACACCTGAGGAAGTGGCAGAAGAGATCCGTAAACACCTGCCCCACCTGAGGGTCACGTACAATCCTGATACCATCCGGCAGACTATTGGTAAGAACAGTGTGAGTTAATGACCTTTTGAAAGAGTCTGAAATCATATTAATTTTAATGTTTTTGTTTTATTGTACAAATTATTCCTCTTGGTCACTGTATGTGTTTTTCTTGAATAATGAAACGTTAAAAAAAATAAATAATCTAAATCAAAAACATGTATTTTAAAATTTCAAAAGTACAAAACAAATAAAGGAATAGGCCATAAAACCCTTGATAACAATCCATTGATGCAATGATCTTAATGTTCATTAAAATGTATGTTCTTTCTATAGCGGACAGCTGGCCTGTGCGGTTTGATGACTCTAACGCCCGTCAGGATTGGGGATGGAAGCCTGAGTACGGCCTGTCAGAGCTGGTTACCGACATGCTGGCCTCCATCCGTGAAAAGAGAACCAATGCAGGACTACCTGTCAGCTAGCAGGTCTTCTCAGGGACTGTAACACAAATCACCAGAATTTTTCCAGTACACTTCTAAACTTATCTATCTCAAATTTCTTTAGACCAGGACTCTCTGTCAGTTAGAGAACTGCTGACACTGACAGTTCTCTACAAACATATGCTTGTGACGAAAACATGTAAACCAACAGTGAAAACTCACATTCTCTCACTGCTCAGGAGACTCTTGCTGCGTCCGAAATCGCATACCGTATAGTAGGTACTACATTCGGTTTGATACTTGCTTTGCGAAAAAAAAAGTATGTTCTATATAGTGTGAATGTGTGTAGAATGAATGCAATTCGGACATACTATATCCGCCATGTTGTCTCTGTCATGTGACCTATGGCATCAGTTGCCAGTGGATGCGCACTTCAGAATCTCGCCGGAAGTAGTAGGCCAATTCGGGTACTTTTCGGCCTATTGTTTTCAGACATACAACTTGGCTCACATACAGTTTTTTCCCTTCTATATAGTATTTCGGATGCAGGGTCTGTCTTTCTACTCTGTGATCTATACTTACATAGTTTTTTAGTCATCATGGGACAGGGGAAAAACAAGAAAACGACAAAATGCTGATGAATATAAGAATAATAATAATAGCCTAATGATAATAATAGTAATTGCACACATTATAGATGAAACAGTCCAATTTAATTATTTTAGAGACACCACACAAAAATAGCAAGTTCTGGCCCCAAATTTCCCTTAAAGACTTTCAACGATCTGATGTTATAACTAAAACACTGCTTTCACTGCTTAACCAATCCTGACATTCTTTTTGGGAGGGTTTAAATTTTAGTCTTTTTGTACAAATACAGTAAGGACCATTATACACCTTTCACTCTACAGTGCTCTAGACCATGTACCGTGTGTCGTGGTTTGAACAGCCATGGGCAGAAAAAGCTTCACTACCAGCTTTAGTGTGAATCAAAAGATGATATTGCCTTTGTTCCAACTCCTATCTGTGATGAATTCACAGTTGCCTGACTTTTGGGTTCTGGCCACTATTGCTTATATTGGCTTTATTTATTTGGAGTCAGTTATCAAGGGCTCTGGATTCACAATGTATAGTGTGGTGGTGTGAATTAAGTACTTAAGTAGATATTTTTTACATTTTTGTTAACTCAGAAGAGCAAAACTACTGGATAAAACACCCAAGGTGGCCTTGCAATAGAAAGGGGAGAGTTCTTTAGCTTCTGCCTGTCTGAAAGTCTTAGTCTGCCTTCTGTATTGCCTAGTGCAGACAAATAAAAATGAGTCTTAACTAAGACAATATGTAGAATGACTCACCCCTTCCAAAAAAAAAGGTGTGATTTCTGGACAAAACATATTGTGTTCACAATTGAAACTGCCTTAATTTTCAATCATTTAACCTCAAAAGTGGCTAATGACTCACATTCAGAACTAGTGGACAAATGCAGTGTATGTCAAATAAATGACTTTAATACAGCAAACAGTTTATGTATTTGTTCAGTGTTGTTTTAAAAATGAACCATGTAAAATATTTTTTTATATATTTATTACATTTTGACTTCTTTAGTAGTCCCAGTCAGATAATGTCAATGTCAATGTCAATACATTTTTAAGGCTATAGCACAATTAAATGGGTTAAAAGCCATAAATAAAATACGTTTTTTAAGGTGTGATTTAAACTCACCTTTGTTTTATTAGACTGAACCTCAGAACCAGTAGCCTCAGTTGATTAGTTGTTTAGACTAACACTCAGTCAGGAGATCCGAGAGATAGGACGGCGCCAGACCATTCAAGGACTTATATACTACCAACAGCATTACTAACAAACAACTATATATTTAGGAAAAACGCTGTGCACATTAAATTACAAAACATTAAGACAAAATGTATGGAAGAGGTTTCCTAACAAAATATAATGATAAATCAAATGTTCACATGATCACATAATAAATCAAATTCTAAAAATGGCTGCTCAAATGCAGTTTCATGTGATCATTTGTTGGAGGATAAACTAGCAAAATGAAATGAAATAATTTATGTTTTATATTTTATACTGATTAATCAGTTATATTATGAAACATTAAATAGCCTAGTATTAAATAGATTTGAACAATGGTCCAGTTTTTTTATACAAGCAACATGAAATATACATTTTTGTACAAAAAGAAAAGAAAAGAGAAAAACAACTATATTAAAACAAAAGAAAAAAAGGTGCCAGGGGAGATAATAATAATATTAACAATAAATTGTTTAAAGGATTGTGGGATGGCATGCAGCAGCGAAGGAAACATCTATGCTGCCTTCAAAAATCCATCAGATGAAGGTATCTCAGGAGACAGGACGTGACACGATCTTTGGATTTGGACGTGCCTTGTTGCCCTCCAACATCTGTTTACTGCCTGCGGAGGCAGCATTTTCCAGCTTTCGGACGCAGCCAGATTTCAGGCACATGATCACCAATCTTCCGGAAGTGACGTAAAAGCCGCCGCGCCGAAGTGGATTTTGGGACATCGTGCCATATTGACACACGACAGAAATGGACGCGGGGTTTTTCCGCGTAAGTGTTTTATTCTTTTACAAATACCACACCATAAAGGTCGAATACATTGTTACTATTTATTATTCGTCAGTTGGTTGACTGGTTGGTTGTTTTAAGGCTGTATTTGATGTGTTCATTGGAGTGTGGCTGTAATGGCGGCTGCGTGAGAGAACCTGAAAATACTCAACAGATTAATCAGGAACAACAGATTTAACGAATTTATTTTCATATTATCGCACTTATTATTACAAATAAAGTCCACTCTACAGTAATCTGTAGTCGACGTTTTTTAGTTATATTTGTGAAATACAGACTGAAACCGAAATATAGATTGATATTTAATGTTCTTATACATTAATATACTATGTATGTATTGGTGTATATATATATAAAAAAATCATTAGCCTCGTACTGCAACAAATTGGATATATTAACCTCAGATACAGGTAAAAAGAAAAGAAAAATGTGTCACATGATGTTTTAATTATGATTTCATGTCTTTTTTTTTTAAAAGGGCACCAGTGCGGAGCAGGATAACCGCTTCAGCAACAAACATAAGAAGCTGTTGAAGCAGCTGAAGTTTGCAGAATGTCTGGAGAAGAAGGTCGAATATATGAAAATACTTGTTTTCTTTGGTGCAAATGTGTTCACAGCACCAGATTTCCATAAGCATGCTGCACATTGGGGCTCATTAGATTTTAGTAGAATAATAATTTTCTAAACTATTATAATTTTGCAATGCAAAGAAATTAGGCATTAAATTGATCAAAAGTGACAGTAAAGGCATTTATACTGTTACATAAGATTTCTATTTCAAATAAATGCTGTTCTTTTGAACCTTCTATTCAACAAATAATCAGTTTCCACAGAAATATTAAAACAGCACAACTGTTTTCAAAATATTTTGGAGCACCAGAATTTTAAAATGATTCTTGAAGGACCATGTAATACTGAATAATTTTTAATCCAAATAAAAGTTGATCCTAAAGTTACCCCCCAAAAATATTTGGAAAATCCTGTGTTCTTCATGATTCTGTTTTCTGATGTGTCATTAGGTGGATATGACCAAGGTCAACCTGGAAGTCATCAAGCCCTGGATCACCCAACGCGTGACTGAGATCCTTGGCTTTGAGGATGACGTTGTCATCGAATTTGTCTTCAACCAGCTGGAGGAAAAGGTAGACGCCCCCTCTGCTCTTCCCGCTCTTTTCACACATGCTGCAATTATATATTAAATGTGTTTTATTCTTTGGGAGGATGAGAGAAGGTTTGGAGATCAGTGAATAACCGCTGACAGTTATTTGAAACATTTGTCATGTGTAGATGTAACAGCAGAAAACATCTAACATCACAGTCTTTAAGTGTCTGTCTGGTTTAAAAAGACAGAAAAGGGGTAAAAATGATATTCTCTCTCTCTGAAGATATGATTTGTGACACCGTTCCTTCTGAACAGCAATGTTCTAATGTTGATGTGATTTATGATTTAAAAGGCCTGAACCAATATGGATCTTATTCCTTGCATCTGAAGTATAGCACCAACTCCTAATTAGATCTCACCTGAGCCCAAAGTCTCTCTGAATCCAACTCTCCCTTGATGATGAGCTTTATTTTTTGAGGTGAGTTATAAGCAGGGATTGACATTGTGCCAGTGGTAGAGTCATTTCAGCTTTATCATTTGTGCCTTTCAAAGTCAAAGTTTAGCAATACATCTTAAACACAAAGGCCTAATTTAATGACAATTTTAGAACGACATACAACCATTAAAGAATGAAAAGAAAACTTAAAATTGCATGTGATAATGCAGTACGGTGGTGTAAGATGGTCATTTATTTCAAGGGGATTTATTAGGCAATAATTATTATTATGCTCTGTCTAATTGACTAGTTTAGCTGTCAGTTTTAAAATAATATGTTGGTTTATTGTATGATTGTCCGTTTGCACAACGTGATACAAATAACGAAGAGAGACACATTTTGCGTTTTCATTAATTTAGCTAAGCCCTGTTTATTAGTCACTGTTTTAGTCTCTAAAGATTTGATTTTCAGGAAGCTTTTGCTTGGATTCCAGAGAGGTATTTGCTCCTATTAATGATACATACAGGTGTTTCCTTATTCTCATACATAAAAGAGGTGCTTTCAGTTTTTGTAATTACATAGCCATACAATAACTTAAAGGAATCTTTCAGGTTAAATACAGGTTATGTTTGATCTACAGCATTTGTGGAATAATGTAATTTACTGGAATAATAAAGTCTTCCTTTAGTTTGTTTTGGTTTTCTAAAAAAAATTGCAACTAATGTGAGGTTAAAGCACTTTTAATTCCATAATTTTATTTGTGCTAAAAATGGTCTAAATCCTAATTTTTGCAATTGGACTATTTATCTAGGTGGATGAACCTGTAGTTATTTTCAGTGGAAACTGATTTTACAGGGTTTTTTAAACTGGGACGGTGTTTCTCAACTAAGGAGCTGTGGCCTCGGCAAACATTCTTTTCTAGATAATACTTATAATTATAATAATAATAACAAAAATAATAATAATTGATTGGATATATAATTGCTTGAGTACAGTAATGATATACAAAGTAAAACAAAAGGGCTAACATGTTCTTTTTTTATATCTTTTCCTGAACGCTGTTTAAATGGGTCCATAAACTGTACATCAGAGGTGCCCAGTCCTGTTCCTGTTGATCTACCCTCCTGCAAAGTTCAGCTTCAACCTTTATTAAACACAACTAAACCAGCTAATTAAGATCTTCTGGAGCACTTGATAATTACAGACAGGTGTGTTGGATCAGGGTTGGAACTGAACTTTGCAGGTAGATCTCCAGGAACAGGATTGGGCACCCCTGATATACATGCAAAATATGTCTGAAGAGGGCAAGCAAATCATCATATTTGCTTGTTTCTGGTATCAAAAATGGGAAATTTCTTAAATTATTCCACAGATGCTGTCGATGGAGCTTAACCTTTATTGAACCAGAAATGTTAATTTAACACTCATTTTAGGACACTGGGTGCTCAATCCTGCTCTTGGAGATCTACTTTATTGCTAAATTTAGGTCCAGCCCTATTCTTACAACTGAATCTTTAGGAGCACGATTCAGCATCCCTGTCTTAGCACATGGATCTCATAGGTTTATTTTCCTCTTCATTTGTTGTAAATAAAGAGTTTTCCATGCCTTGTGTACTCATTATTGCTTGTTCATCTCTTGCAATTTAGATAAATGATATAGCATTAAACTCAAGGTGATTGAGTGTGATGCAGTAGTGAGGCGGAGGCCAGCCAATGGAGCGCCTTTCTCCGCCCCCTCCCCAGCCCACAGAGCCTGCGCCACTCACACTGAAGACAACTGGACTGTTCTTGCTTTGTGGGGTTTTGATGCACTCTGTTTGTGGACTGTAATGTTTCTATCTCTCAGGAGTTTGATATTGCACAGGAAGAGACAGCCCTAGTGGTGGGGAGGGTCTTATTGCTCCTTAATGAGGGGATGTGAACTGGGAGGGTACATCTCAGTTCAGATAATAACATGTAATGCATGCTCAAAGTGAGTTTATCCATTTTAGAAGTGTTTTGATCCTTTTATTAAATTGGTTTATGAGTAAAAATAAAATTCAGCTGTGACAGTTGGTTTTAGAGACATTTTTGAGGCCCACAGGTACTGGGCTCTTGTTGAAAAGCAGCTGTTTACTGGATGTTCAGGAAGGGAAGGTGTAGGTAGACTTTCAGAGCTCCGCACACTGGTTCTGTGTCAGTATTAACTGCATGGTTTCCTCCCTTCTCTCTTTCTCCCTGCTGTTTGTGTTGCAGAACCCGGATGGGAAGATGATGCAGATTAATTTGACAGGGTTTTTGAACGGGAAGAACGCTCGAGAATTCATGAAGGACCTCTGGCCGCTGTTGCTAAGTGCCCAGGAGAACATCGCAGGTATCCCGTCTGCTTTCCTGGAGCAAAAGAAAGAGGAGATCAAGCAGAGACAGGTGATGAAGAGCTAAAAAGTTATGAACTTGCATACTGATTAAGTGATTATGATGGGGATTTATAAGGTTGGACATTTTGTGTTGTAATTGGGTATGTGTACAACATGATTGTAAACTACAAGTTGTTTAACAGTTTTTCTATTTGCTGATTTAGATTGAACAGGAGAAACTTGCCTCTCTGAAAAAAATAGATGACGATAAAAGGGAGAAGGAGATCAAAGAGCGAGCTCAGTCAAAAAGCCCTAAACGGTTGGTTTTGGCCTTAATTTTGCTTAAAGTCAGCATGAAATGGAAATTTTGATTGTTTTTTCTTCCCTATTGTGACTCATATCTGAGTGAAACGGCTTATCAAACATTAAAAAAATGTAGGGTGGCACTTGATTTTGTTCATTGGGAATTGTTGGATCTTTGTAATTTGCTAATTATAGCGATTTCATGTTAGTTGTTGTTTTTGATTAAAGATCATAAGGGCACATGAATCAAAAGAAAAAGTTATGTACATGGATAAATAATACAAAATAGTTGTCAATTTTGATTTCATGGTGACGTTAACAATTAGATTAGTATATTTGTTAGTGTAAATAATGGATAATGTTGTAAATTGGCCATGTGCTTAACTGCTGTTTTCCCCCCCGTTTTTTTCTTCTTTTTTTTTCTGCTGGTTCACTTTTAATTCCAGGAGGAAGTCTCGCTCCCCTGTGAAGCGTGACCGTAAATCCAGTCCCTCTCGCTCTCCTCGCCGAAGACCGAGCCCGGCTGCCTTGCCTCCTTCTAGTCCGCCCAGTAATAAAGAAGAACCAAAGCAAGAACCGGACCAATCAGAGAGCTCCAAACCAGAGCCTCTCATTGAGGAGGCTTCCTCTACAAGGTAACTATGGAAACCTGACACTGCACTATGCAATCCTAAAATTGTAGACCACAGAAAGACTTTGTGTATGAATCTGAAATCCCCCCCCCCCATTATACCTGTCAGTGATCTGGTGGTTGAGATGAAGCCGGACTCCGTGTCTGAGGCTGTGAAAGAGCCCTCTCCAGACAAAACGTCAAAATCAGAAGACAGGCCCAAACCCAGAGACAGGGACAGAGATAAGGATGGACGGAGAGATCGCCCGCGCCACCGCTCTCGCTCTCGATCACCTCGATCTCGCAAACGACCTCGGTCCCGCTCTAGGTGAGTTTTGTCTCTGATGGTGAAGTCGGGTGATTTCTTATCTTAGATAATTTTGCTTACCTGCAAATGTGATTGAACTGGGGGATAAACTAATGTCTCTTCTAGGTCGTTCTCTCCTCGCCGCAGAAGTCCCAGGAGGCGAATCTCTCCGAGACGTAGGAGCCCCCCTAGACGGCGACCTCCCTCTAGACACAGACGTAGCCGTTCACCTGTCCGCAGGTCAGCAAATTAATTTTTTCAAAGACTTTTAAAGTACTACAAAACCTTTCTATTTCAAATAAATGTTTTTTTTTCCATTAAAGAATCCTAAAAAAAATGATTAATGGTTTCCATAAAAATATTAAGCAACACAACTGTTTTCAACATTATTAATAAGTGGGTGGGACGGGGGGGGGGGGGAGGTAATAGAATATGTACAATAACAATTGCAGAAAAAAATAAAATTACAATGTCCAGAAATCAATTCCAATGGTACATTGAGTTTAATTCATCAACACAGAAGTCATGTTTAACATGTAGTTTTCATCCTAACATCTACTATAATTAGGGATGCGCGATGATATCGGGACAACATCGGTATCGCCCAATAAAAGCTTAAAATGACCATCATCGGCATCGGCAGATATGAATATTACTGCCGATGAGCCTTGCCGATAGGGTGGAGTGTTTCCTATGTGCACGTGACGACCGTGAACGAAGCATGAGTGCCAGCAACTTAAACTTCCAACTAGGGGTGTGCGATAGTGATGCGCGGGTCGGCTTTTTTTCCAACCCGCGGGTCCCGGTTTTATGAAATTATTTGGCCCGCCCCAGCCCGCACCGCACCACTGTATCTATTTTTACAACCCGCCCCGCAACCGTTAAATAGACATACTACTAGGTAGGGGTGGCACGGTTCACAAAACCCACGGTTCGGTTTGTATCACGGTTTTAGGGTCACGGTTTTCGGTTCTCTATGGTTATTGTTATTTTTTTTTTATCTTTAACACTCCAGAAATGTACTTCAGCATATGATATATATAGGGATGCACGATATAGGATTAAAGGACTAATTTTGCCCGATACCGATATATTTGTGTGTTTTTTTTAAGTGCAAAAAAAGCTTATTAAAGTTCTCAGTCAAGAGCAGTGAGTGATTTCCTCTTTGTGTTTTGTTTTATTAACATTAACGAGATAGTTCTCCCCAAAATTTAAATTGTCATCATTTACTCTCTCAAGTTTCTTTCTTCTGTTGAAATTATAAAAGTTATTTGGAAGAATGTGGTTAACCAAACAGTTGCTGTACTTCAGTGACTTCCATAGTATATTTAAGCACAAGAAAGAAATTAATACAGGTTTGGAACAACATTAGAGTGAGTAAATAATGACAGAATTTTTATTTCTGGGTGCAGGATCTCTTTAAGGACAAGCGGCAGCATATTATTACTGTCTCTTTAAGAACTGCACGCGACGCGTCTAATATACACGCATTTGACAAGCAGATTTTCTCTGTTTGCCTTCACTTTAGACATAACCAACTTTGTTTATGTAAACCGTGTGTGTATTTGACTGTATCAGCGCAATAAGACTCGAAAGATTAGTCCAGTATGCAGACTCTGTGACAGGCTTTTAGTTCCTGTGAGCGTCGGTTGTAACGCGCTCAGAAAAGCGGATGTTAGAACAGCGCATCAGCACGTGAATGATATGTTTACCTAGCAAGACTTTGACGCACATGCAAATAATGAACTTTTGTGAATTGCGGTGACCGTGAGTGTAACTCTACCTCTGCGTTTACATGTGATGTGATGTGACGTCGCGTTGTACAGTATGTTGAGATGAAGGCGCCAGAATTGAACTGATAGAATGCACGATACTATGATTTTTCTTCAAAAGCAGATCGTGGAGACATTTTAATCGTCCACGATCAAAAACCGTGAGACACACACCCCTAGTTGGAAGTTTAAGTTGCTGGCGCTCATGCTTCGTTCGCGTCACGTGCGCATAGGAAACACTCCACCCTATCGGCAAGGCTCATCGGCAGAAATATTCATATCGGCCGATACCGATGATGGTCATTTTAAGCTTTTATCGGCCGATACCGATGTTGTCCCGATATCATCGTGCATCCCTAGATATATAGCTTAATTATCCACAATTTAGGATACAGTATTAAAAAAAAATGTTATATCATGCACAAACTGAATTTGACTTGACTTTAAGAGCATTATTGGGACTATCTCCGAGGAAAGCTAGGTGAGATTTTGATACAGCAAGAGAGAAGATATTGATGCAGGGCTCTAGAGTGCGACCAATTTGGTCGCACATGCGACCAAAATTTGTAAGGGTGCGACGAGAATTTTTCCTAGGTCGCACCAGTGCACCTAACGTTCTCGCATGATCGCATCCGCTGCCTCTCCACAAACAGTCTTTTGTTCTCCTTGCACGCATGGTTGGATCATATCGTGGTCTAAACCAATCAGAGATAGAGATTGGGCTGGTCTTTGCCTCTGATTGGCTGTGGTTCAGATATTCCTGTAGGACTAAAATGCTCCGTGCTGTGTAGTGATCGACCGATATATCGGCCGGCCGATATATCGGGCCGATATTTGCGGTTTTTACGTGTATCGGAATCGGCCGATACGCGGCTGCTGCGTTCGCCGATAGTTTTTTCCCGGCATTATTTATAGACAGGCGTCCACAGGCAGCTCTGTGCTGCTGGAGACGCTGCAGTTCACGTGCAGACCCTGCACTGTCCCTCCCCCACTAGCAGAGTGCAACCTGCGCTTCAAGATAACGGTAACTTTTAAACTTTCAAAGCATCTTTTAACTGTTTGACTGCTGAAATATTGTCAAACACTTTGAAAATGGAAACACGTTGCTTTATAACTGTTATGTGGTTGCAACTATATAGCTAAGCAAGTTTGTGGGTCCAAATGGAAAACGCGAATGACTCGTCTATAAAACTGCTTGCTTGCCGTTGTATTTAGGGAGCTGCAAATAGCTGTAGGCTATCCGTTCAGTATGCATTAGGGCTGTCAATGAATATTCTAAATACGAATATATATTCGAATAGTTTAAAAAAAACTGAATTTTGAAGGTGAAAATTAATATTCGAATGTGGAAAAACACGCCCGCGGTAGCAGACTAACGTTACCACAGCACAGCTCGCTCAGTGTCGGTTCTATGTACTGTGAAACTTCAATTAATGTATTTGTTTCAATCACTGAATGAAGCCTGCTATATACCTTAAATTGCTTGCACAAAACTCTTGATCAGCACTCAACATTTGTTTGTTGCTGTTCATTTAAACCGGTATGCGCGGAGAGCGTGAGGGTGAGTGCGAGAGAGAGAGTGCGCCTGCGAGTCCGGGCGAGCCAGAGTGAGCTCTGCGGTCTTGGCCATTAGTTGATTTACTCGTTTTTTTTTTTTTGTAGTAATACGTTGTCAAATATGTTTAAACTCAAATAAGCTACTTAATACTAGTAGTTATGTCTCTTTGTATTAATTTATCCTGTTATTGACGTAATGCGCGTCATTGACCAAATGCACGACGATATGCTCAAATATGTTTTTTTAGAGGGAATATACAAACGCTATTTGAGCAATTTTGACAGCCCTAGTATGCGTACGGTAGCTGTTACGAACACTGGTCATAGGATAAGTAATTAGTGTTGTCACGATACTAGAATTTCTAACTTCGATACGATACCTTGAAAAATATCGATATTCGATACCATTTTCGATACCACAGAGAAAAAACTGCCACAATATTAAGGGGGTATTTTTTTTATTTAAAGCTAAATATAAAAAGTCTAAAACATGACAATGAGGTATATTTTACATGAACAAAAATGTCCTGAGTTCTATTTGTTTATATTTTTTAATTGGACCAGAGCTAACATGATGTACTTTTATTACCTACTGTTATCAAAGATTAAAATATACTGTAACAAAAAAGCACTTAACAGTATCAAATTGGAGGATAGAGAGTCAGTAATGTATAATAATAAGATTAAACATTCAATTTTCAGTTAAAGGCATGTCATTATTGAATTCAGAGATGCCATTGTCTAGCTGTTTAGTTTAATTAATATCTGTGTAATCATAATTTATGATAATCGCTAATGAAGGAAAATTGCAGAATTAAATAATAATTTTTGAATAAAGTTAAATAGGCACCAGTTAATTTACATTTGACCACAGTTACAATATTTACTTGTCTAAGATTCCTCAGTCAGATTATGTTAACTTTAAGAATTAAAACGAGACAACACAGACTCTTATCAACAACAATACTAGGCCATCTTGGTTAATGTTTCAGAAAAGTTCAAATGAGAAGAGTTACAGTGTGTTTTTTTAGCAGTGGGGGCAGGTCTGTCCAAACAACAAACACCCCTGATGCTGAGCATTTGCTGCTAAATAGTAGCCTACCCCTGGAGCCTGTTCCTTAAATCTGTTTTCACCTATACAATAATTTAAAAAAATGAGTGATGTGAGGGATTATTGATAGTCAAACAATATGTTGGGTGCCCGCAGCCCGCTCGCGTGTCCGCGCTATTCTCTGACATGCCCGCTCGCGGTGTGTAGCTCGTGTCCGCGCTATTCTCCGACATGCCCGCTCGCGGTGTGTAGCGCGTGTCCACGCTATTCTCCGACTCCGACATGCCCGCTCGCGGTGTGTGGCTCGTGTCCGCGCTATTCTCTGACATGCCCGCTCGCGGTGTGTAGCGCGTGTCCACGCTATTCTCCGACTCCGACATGCCCGCTCACGGTGTGTTTTTTACGCGTGTCCGCGCTATTCTCCGACATGCCCGCTCGCGGAATCAACCAAAGCCGGTCGCGGGGGCGCCGCCCTCGCCATCTTTCCATTCACTTCACTTTTGCTATTTAACCAGAGCGAATGAGACGAGTGCGTCACGTGTGGTGTTTGTCAACGCGCCTTTTGAGAGAACTGAAAGTGACTGCTCGGCTAGTATCGATACTTCGGGAAATTAGTATTGGTACCGTTCAGATATTTCAGTATCGATATTTATCGAAATATCGATATTTTTGACAACACTATAAGTAATACCAACGTTGTTCCGTGCTTTTTGTGGGAGATTTATTCAGCGACCACCTGGCTGAGGTTTGGACGCGTGTGGTGTGTGTCTCCCTCGCCATCGCAGTGATATTAGAGACTAGACATGCTCATTTTATTTTATGTAGAAAAATTTAAACCATGGCAGTAAATAGTTCGTTAC